GTTCAGGGAGGTTTTCTGAAATTAACCCTTTATTTAATAAAAAAAATATATCAATTATGTGGGCATGTACCTGGTAGTTATATCATCTTATCAATTTAAATCTTAGAAGGTTTTTAAATGAAATTTCAATAACATGCTCCTCATGCATCTGGTTTTGAGCATTTTATCATGATAAGGTAATGAATGAATTCATTTAAGTGTATGTTCACGAGCCATTCCATATTTCAGATTCATGTTTTAACTATGATGCATTGATATAGACACGGGATGAAGATACAATAAGGATAAAGTGATGTGACAAATGAAACATCATACAGACACATTGCTGATATTAAAATAATAGCACGGCTATAAAAATTAATTATTGTCTCTAGGAACAAAAAGTTATAACAGATATAAAAATAGTTTAAAGTATTTCTAAGCTATTGGACAAACTATATGGATGCCTGTAAATCAAATAAAATTCTGAAAACATGGATAGGACATAAGAATTTTGAGTTTTTAATATTGGGACGTATCTTCATTGGAACGCCTTACAAAGAAAGTTATGGGACATTCGTGTATCTAACATAAATCTCCAACAGGGGTGTTGCTAACTTATAAATAAAACTATTAACTGTAATATGCATGTACATTTTGAATATCTAATATATGTTAACACTTCACACTTGATTCTCTTATATTTTCCAAGAGTTGTAGAATGGTTCATATCGCAATGTCAGCTTCATAGAAGATTTCCATATCCGTACAAGAGCACTCATAGCATTTGTCGAACAGATTAAACTACCATTGTAACATGAAAAGTAATGAACAATGAATTATATAATTCTGTGCCAGTGAATTTTATGAATGCATGGTCAATGCAAGTAAAAGTAGTAGTTTTGGAAAAGATAGCAAAATTTATGGCTGATCAAATTAATAGAAAGAATCTACATAATGCAATGCACATGCTACTGACGCTTTAAGAATTTATTGTGACAAAAAGGTTGTAGCTTGGGGTAAGGCGGAATTTGAACCCTCTATTTCTTCCTCACTGAAAGAGCTTTACCACCACTATGAAATGGCATTTGCAATATTGGACGCATTGTATCACCATTTTCTTCCTTGTAGAAAACCTCAGCCTTCACAGACAAGTTGTGCTTTACGAATTCTTGTGTCTATTCCATGACCCCATGATAACAACAAGATAAGTATTTCTTAAAAATACAAGGATTTTTACACACTTATAAACTGCTGTTGCTTAACTATTATGTTCATCTTCAAAATATAAGGATTTAAAAAAAATATATGTACATTGAAAAGTCGGGTTCATTTTTCTATAGAGAAAATAGTTTCATTATATATTTCTAGTCCAAAGAAAGCTAAGAAAATTTGTCTCAATAATTAAAAAAAATGATACATTAGTTTCAAATTTCGACAGAGAACAGGAAAAACTTACCTACATTATAGTGGAAATTATGGAACTCCGGTTCAAATTGCAAAACTCAGACTCAGTCCACAAAGTTCGGTAACTAAGAGTTAAAGGACAAGAAGTAAAAGACTGATTGATCCATTGAGGTGTTATAGTCCATTATTTTAGTACTTCATTTACTTTTCTTCCTAGAGTATTCATTGGTTTTCATGTCCCAGACTTTTGCTTCAAAGCTTGAGTTCGGGCTGTGATTAGTTACTTGCTAATTTTAGTTAAGTAGTTTCCTCCATATTTTTGAGTAAATATCAAATAAGGCCTTTGTAGATATTAAAAAATGCAAACTACTATTATTATGTTAGTCCTTAGTTTTATGTCTTCATATATCATTGTGTGTGCACATGCGCACGTGTATATATATATATATATAGGTATGTATGTATATATGTATGTATATATGTATACATGTATATATATATGTATGTATATATAGGTATGTATGTATATATGTATGTATATATGTATACATGTATATATATGTATATATACACACACACACACACACATATAGAAAATTATCAGAATTTCTCGTTGAATGCTCCTTAGGAAATTAGCTACACATATGACTTCAACTAAGCCTTCATCTTCATCTCACGCACCTTTCAAAGAATCCTACATTGTTACAGTACCATGCATAAGAGAAGACGACGAATTTGATAACACTGAACAAGACTTCCGATTCATTATAGGTTGATAGATACATGGGTGTGCATATTCAAATTTCAAATACCTAGAAGGAAACATCATCAATCAGAATTTCTGTGAGGAATTTATCACAGAACCTTAACTGTAGCAATGGACTCATTTCCAATGGAGTGGACATGCATACTAGCGTACCAAATATATCATGAACCCCGTTTCAGTTTTCCTTCATGATATTTCCTCTCAATAAGAAGAAATAGACACACATACACTAATTACCTAAGAATGTTACATTTCTTTACCATAATAAAAAAAGATCAAACGAAAGAGTGGATTTAGCTCTCACTCTTTACTAATTTACTTTTGGGTAGAGTGATAAACTTGAACTCCAACAGATTGACAATGCAATGATGCATATTCACCATACTTTCCTTCCTCCAGTTTGCAATTTTTTCATTTAAATGCATTAAAAAGTCTCTTTTAGACAAAGGTTTCTGTTACAAAAAACTATTACAATGAAAGACATCCAGTCTTGGTGACATATAGACAGATATCTAAGGTATAAAAATTAGACCTGACAGGTGAAAATTGCATTAATTATTCAACAGAACTTTGAAAGTCCTAAGATTCACAGTTACGTAAGTGTTCTTTTCTCTATGGGTTTTGAGACGAAGGAATAACTTGTGCAATTTTCTTACTGGTGAGTCTTCTGGTGCTATTTTTCACTTTTTCGCTCAATATATCCAACTAGAGGAACACACAAAGGTAAACATTATAGAAAGAGGGTTATTTGGAATGGTTTTTAGCACAACTTGAACAAGGGGAACAACCATTAGTTCCTAGAAAAGCAGCACAAGAGTAAGAACACATATGCTAACAAGTAATTAATTATACTAGTAGATTTTTTAACTAATTCCAAATATATTTATAGATGAGCATCAAATTTATATGCTGATAAATGTTTATTAAACTTATTTTCGAGCATAATTAACAAATAGCAACAGCGAAAAAAGTAAAGACTGCATTCCAAGATATTGCGTTCAGGTGCAAGAATACCTTTTCTCCATTCAACTCTATTAAGTGCCAGAACCTTTGTTAAATTGCCAAAAAGGACATCCTTTTGATACTGCTTTGGCCACTTTTTTCCACAGAACTCATAAGACAAGATGCTTTCCTAGTTGCATCCTGATTGTCCTAACTAAAGTATATACCTTTTTTGCACGTGTTCATACCAAGTCAAGCAATTCTCTCATCTCATCCCCAGTCAAAACTACCCTTGAACTTCTTTTGGTTATACTTGTTTATTATCCTGTGTTATCAACTTATTATGCTGTTGGCTTTCGATCCCTTATTTATTAGCTAGACTCCTCTTTTGGACACTTCTTCAGAACTTGCTCTCATAAAATTTTCATTATGCAACTTACAGAAGATGCGAAATTTATGAGAACAATATTTTGTCAAATGATTACCAGAAAGTTGATAACATTTAATTTGACATCTATGTATGATTCTATTGGAGTAGAATACATCACTAAAATGGAAAGAAAAAAAATTACCATTAAGGCTACATGTAGCATAGTGTTGATGATTCGCAGCATAAAGATATTTACTACTTGAAGAATTCTAGGGAAAATAGTTATATGGACCACGTGTAGACTTTTAGGCAGAGTGCAGAACAAGGGGCAAAGTGAAAGAACTTTGCAAGTTAAAAGCTCCTACACTTTATGACTGAAAGGAATAATGAGAGGGGGAGAAAAGAACGGTAGGATAAATTTCGGATTAGAATTTTAAATTATCTCTTGATTATCTCCTCTAGGCCAGCAGTAAAAGATATACCGACAAAATTGCTAGTACTTCTATATTCTCCTCCAGATTCTTTTATTTTTCATTTCCTTCTATGAAATCAAATAATACTCTGAAAACTATATGGTTAAAAATCTATAATAAAATCAGATTTCCTAGGAATGATGTACTAGTATGGTTTTTACTGTCATGTCAGCAAGAAACGGTACCTGAGAGTTCTGTATAGCATCCATATGATTTGTACTGTTATTTCCAACCAACTCTTTGACAGACTTCGCATTAACCAATGTTTGCTTCAAAGAGGTAGGATTAGAAACGGTGATCCCTTGACTATTAGGTACGTTAACCATGATTGGTGAATTAGCTGGCTTTGAATCATTTGCCAAAGAGGTTGAAGGAATCAAGACAAACTTAACAGGCTGTTGCATAAGCAAGACTTCATTTCCTGACCCTGCCTTTCTAGGTTCATTTGAGCACTTTGTCATGCAACTTCCATGCCCCCCCTTAACTCCATTTGCAACTGCAGCTGCAGTCCTTTTAGCCGCAGCAACTTTGTCTACAGCCTCTTTAAGAGCTGACGTTGCAACATTATATATTTCTTCTGATACAGCCCCTTCCTGGGCAAATCTAATGGCGTCATAACACAATTGGTTATATAAAACAGTCAAAGATTCCTGTGAAGTACTTCGACTTCCATTGCAACAATCACCACTCATGACCATCCCTACATTGGAAGGCATATGCTCTCCAACCACATAAGTTACCCTCCCCTTCTCATTGCAATCATTTGATGCCTGAAGAGGCCATGGCTCCTTCTTTGAAGTTGCCAAAGCATGGTTGTGCTCCTTCTCAAATCTTGAAACTACCCATTTCCCAGTACTCAGCTTCTTAACAATAATCATAGCTTTGCAGCCTATCCTGGTAACTACTCTAGGCCTTTTCGCTCTTCCATCATTAGTTTCCTCCTTCTTGATCCGTAACTCACGAAACCCTTCCTTTGAGCAAACAATTTGTCTAGAAATGATCGAATTGTCCTTCCTCGACCTGCAATACTTGCTAATCCTCGCACGAAAACCCATCTGTCTCGCATAATTTAAATAAAAAGTCCTCGCATCTTCTTCCGAATCAAACTCCATGCCCTCAACTGGCTCATGAACTGCACCTCCATCAGACAGAACGTTCAACTCTTCCATTGAATCTTCTTCCTTTTGAACTACCCTAACCTCTAATTTCCTCGGAGGAACAGGCCCATGGTTATGCTCCTTCACAAATTTAGACACAACCCATCTCCCGTCAGCCACTTTCTTCACCATAATCATCGCCTTGCAACCGACCCGGGTAACTGCCCGCTGCCTGTGCTGTTTTCTCCCGCCAAAAACACCCTCACTACCACGAGACTCTCGAAACCCTTCTTTCGAACAGACAATCAATCTCGAAATGATCGAATTGTCACGACGAGACCGAGTATACCTACTGATTCTAACCCTAAAACCGACATGCCGGGCGTACGAGCTGTAAAAAGCCCTTGCAGCCTCTTCGGATTCGAACTCCATGCCCTCGTAGGGCTCCAAATTAGTTTCCCCCTCAGATGCAACTAAATCCAACTCTCCCTTCACTTCATTACTATTGTTAGAATCACCATTGAAGGGTTCAATGTCCAGTTGCATCATGGACTCATCTTCTTCGTTTCCAATTTGTGGTTCTATTATTACTTCATCCATGTTCTTTTTACTGCTATTTACGGAACATGCAATCATCATTATCGATTTTATAAACTGAAAAAAGAGGAAATATGAGACTAAAGATCGTACCTTTGAAGCTCAATTCATTGCGAGAGAAACCATAGGAACGTGAGAGGGGAGGACGCGGTAGGGATTAGCGAAATTAAGGAGGGTAATTTAGAGGAATTGAGAGGAGATTGGGGTTCTTTTTTATTTATGAAAACGAGAGCGAAAGGGAGAAGGGGGAAATGGACGGTGGAGAATTGGTGACTTGAGCGGAGATCGAGAGAGGGAGAGCTTGCGACTGAGAGATGATGATGATGATGATGGATCATGGCCAAGGGTGTGAAGTGGGGACCATGTAACATCAGAGGTAAACGCCCTTGACTTTCGGGGTTTTGCATATATAACCCTCTCTACTTCGTTATTTCACTTGCCCCCACCACCACCCCAACCCAACTTTGGGTTGTTTCGATTAAACCCTTGAACTTTCAAGTTTTACCAACAAATCCCATCGCTAATGTATCAACACCCTCCCCACCCACCCACCCACTCCACACACACAACTGATAGATGCTCCCCAAGAGAGTTGAGCCTTAGACCTAACATACTACTCTTGGTCAGTGTTGATGTCAGTTATCAAACAGAGGATTATCTGAGATTTTGTTGAGTGATTAGGGTACTCTAACTCCTCGTGATGAAGGGTCTGGGGATTGTTGTTCTTCCCTGCACATGAAGGAACTTGTAAAACAGCGGAGTTGGGTTCTCCAGTTGTTCCTCCGACGATCAACTCAGTAGGTGATCTTCAGTGGGGAAGTATAAAGTTAGCTCGTAATTATGTAAAAAGACTAGAAAGTTTTACCTCATGTAGTGCCGCTCCGTTTATAGTGGATCTGAGGGGTAAGAAAGTAACTTAGGACGAGTCTAGCTAGGCAACTGAGTTGACAGACATGTGCTACGTGTTGGTTACTGAAGGAAGTGGGTCACCTGATCATTTATTGTGGGAATGACAACAGATGCTTGGTGCTGACTAGGTCTGTTGAGTCATAAAGGCTATGGGGGCTAGAGCAATTATGATGTGTCAGGGCAGTTAATGCGAGAGTAGTCGGCTAGCTAGGGGTTCGAGGTAACTGACGTCTTGCTCCTCAAGTCCAGGGCCGAGAAGCATCGCCTTTTGACTCAGTTACGCGAGATGTTGGCTGAGCAGTGGACCGAGTCGGATAGCAGCTTGTGGAATTAATTGAGGGGTTGGCTGAGTAGTACCGCATTTTGACTCGGTTATGCGAGATGTCAGCCGAACAGTGGGCCGAATCGGGTCGCTTGTGGAATCGATTGGCCGAATAGTACCGCCTTTTGACTCGATTACGCGAGATGTCGGCCAATCAAGTCGGCTATGTTGAGGCGGAGGTTGTCTTGGTCTTGAACTAGTTTGGTTAGATATAGTGTAAGACACGTGTCGACTTCTCTGTGGAGATTAATATTTAGTATTTTTAGGGGTTATAACAGTCAGCTAGGCTCTCTTGGGTCTATGTTAATAGTCTTTCTATTTAATTTGTTCTTTTTTCCTGGTAAAATTATCTATGCTCTTCTAGGAACTTCACCTCACAATCGTCTCCAACAACCTCAGATTATTAGATAGGTCACCATTCACCTTCACCCAATGAGAACTTTCAAGGTAAAAAATGTTTGGATGATTGAAGAAAGGGTCAACAATACAGCTTGAGTAGCACTACGGGGTTATTGTCAATGTAGGTCATTTGATTTGAGAATTTTCATTAACAAACACAGACGGTTTTTGAATGAGTATTCTGGCGCACATGATGTGTGCATGCTGTTGTGTGTGAGAGAGTGTTGTACCTAGTTCAAATTCAGATAAGCCCCTGTGGTTTACCTTATAAATCTATTAAGCCCTAGCTTGATCTATTATTTTAACCCATTAAGCCCCCGTGACTTTGGTTTTGATTATGGTTAGCCCCAATAGTGGTTTAACACCTAAAACACTATCAAAATTAAAATTCTGGTCAGACTAAACTCGGAATATCGTAAAATAAGTCACATGCAACTTACATGAGATATTTATATTATATTTGTAATCACTCGATCGGAATTGTGGCAAATTATTATGGGGGAAATGATCGTGTTTATTTCCTCTCATGCAATCTCAAGTCTGATAATCCTCATTTGGGATTTTTTTTTTTTTTTTGGTTATTTCTTTTACTTAGAATCTCTTTGATTGGTTGTTTGTTAATAGGAATAATTTGAACAATATAAAAATATCCTTCCTTAGTTATGAAGAACCATCATGGGGCTGAATAGAATCAAAACCAAAACACATAGGGACTTAATAGATTGAAATAATAGATTAAGGGTTTAATAGATTTGGGAGATAAACCACATGGGCTTATCTGAATTTGAGTTCTGTTGTAGTAGGATTGTAAGAAAACAGGGGTCGTAGGGCCTTTTTTGGATCAACCCCCTCCGCCCGCGATACACCAGGAGAACTTTTTTGTGAGAGCTTCATTTTTTTTCAAGGACAATGGTATTTTCGTTTAAGTTTCCAAGTGAGAGGGAGCATTTCAGTTGATTCTTTTAAGTGTGAGGATTGTCTTCTTAGCATGAGGCCACTTCTATAGGTTTTCAAACGTGAAGGCATTTTTTGGAATTCTAAAAGTGAAGTTCGCGCAACTGAAAGAATGGTTTTTAAATAATAAAAGATAATAACCTGGTGTTTGGTGCAGCGGTGTAAGGCTCCACTGCGCCTTGTTGGGAGACGATCTATAGTGGGCTAGTCCCGTGTTCGAATCCTCCAATAGGTAATTAAAATACCCCTGGATCAGTGCCAAAAGCGCGAGTGGGGATTAATCCCATCCGAAAAGGTGTGGGGATACCTCGTCGTCGAGACTAGAAAATAATAATAAAAGATAATAAATCATTCTGCATAACTCACAGAAGGAAGGGTCTCACCTTGCACCAATTCATCAATCACTTTAGCTAGCAATATCAATTGCCAATGAACTGTTGAACAACTCGGAGCAACGAATAAATACTAAACGCATGTCATAAGCTCATCACATAAGATGAAGAAAACCAATAAGATCACTACAAGGAGATGACCAGATTACCAATGGATATGATGATCAACTAAATTTTTGAGGAAAGATAATTAATGATCAACTAAACACACCAGCAATTGCTTCGAGGGTACGTGGAGTGAATGCTGATGAATATGCTCTAGCGTTAATTTTGGGAGATCGGTTTATACACTCCCGAGTAAAGTTCAGAAATTTTGATCACAAATAAACTGCAAACTGGATTAGAAACAATATATGCAGATTATACTTATCTTTCATCATCCTCCACATAGGCTGAAAAATATAACATGTCATCAAAATCGTAACGTTCATCTCCTAAAATTTTCAGGGACGTGCAGCATTATAAGAAAAAGGTGAAAATTCCACCATTATCTTCTGTGACCGCGAGACAACGTATTTTACTGAAATTCTTTCTTTTGGTAAGTCCACGGAGCACAGCAAACCAATTGTATGATAGATGCAAGGCATTGATTGATAGCAGTAGAGACTGCAGATTGAGTGTTTGTGATAGAATCGTCGTTCGTGAGGGTGGAATCAACAATTTCCAATTGCACACTTGGAAATGCATGGATCGCTGACCCACTTCCTCAAACTTAATTCTCCAGCGAACATGGAATTTGTCAGCTTTTTTCTTGTGAATGTTTCTAGTAGAAGAATTCGGAAGCTGTAAACATCTCCGCTCCTTGAAACTTTTCCTGTGGATCCATACTCTGTCATCAAGCATTTAAGCATTCAAGTTAGCAAAGAAGGATGTTTGAAAACATTTTAATGTCATTAACATCAAATTTGGATCTCCTTCATTTTGGTTAGGCAATGGCAAGATCACTTCCTTCATCGTATGTTACTAATCAAATGAACTACTAGGATTTATCTTGAGATAGTGTTAAAAAAATGCCGTCATACAAGTATGACGCTAATTACATTATACTTGAATCACAATCATCTAGATGTCATTGAATGATTATGATAAAGGAAGTAAATTCTTCACTTGTGAAATGATACTAACGAGGATCAAAATTTACATTGGATTTGGATAATAATCATAGATAGTATTCACCTACAAACTAAATCAAAAAGTTATCTGGAAAGATCACCAAAAAATTTCGTCGCTTAATTTCTCACCAATCCTTTCAGGATTTGTTGCCAATATCCTGTGTGTGCAACTATGATAACAACAAATGTCTTAAGGGGAAAGTAGGGGTAAACTGTTGGGGATTTACCACCCCCTGATGCGATTTGGAAATAGAGATTTAGGAGAGAGAAAGAAAATCAAACAGTGACAAACACACAAGATTTACGTGGTTCGCTTCTCAATGTGAGAAACTACGTCCACGACCGCCGCAGGAGAAAAATTCACTAATTTTCGTCTCAATACATCATGCCCTAGCCAACCCTTTTATAGACTTAAGGGTTTAACCAATAAAGAAGGAAACAGAACAAAACAGGTTAAAATTCGAAACTGGGCCAAAACCCGACTCCGGTCGACCGCAGCACCACGTGCGGTCGACCGCGATGAATCCTATTCCTGATCGAGCTCTCTGGACTTTGGGCGGTCGACCGCAGCGACATGCTCGGTCGACCGCGTCGTTTTGCTTGAACTTTGCCATCGTCGATCCTGTTCCTCTTGTTCCAACTTTGTTCCTCTTCATTCTGAAGTGTAGGGCATGCCTGATAGTTAGGCTTTACATATCCTAACAATCTCCCACTTGGAGACTAACTATCAATCTCTTTCAGCTCTCTCTGCGGCGACGGCCTCCATTTCATCAAGTGCTGAGGCCAACTGAAGTTGAACACAACTTCAGTTTCTCTGTAGTGACAACCTTGGTAAGCATATCAGCTGGGTTCTTGCTTCCTTGAATCTTCACAAGTTCCAACATGTCCTCGTCCAACGCTGATCTTATGAAGTGGTAGCGGACCTGTATGTGTTTGGTCCTTGCATGAAAAGCGGGATTCTTTGCCAAATGAATTGCGCTCTGGCTATCACAATGTAAGACATTCTTCTCACTCTTCTGTCCTAGCTCCTCCAAGAAACCCTGCAACCATATCATCTCCTTGCTTGCCTCTGTCACCGCAACATATTCAGCCTCTGTTGTTGATAAAGCAACGATCTTCTGCAACTGAGAAATCCAACTAATAGCTGTAGAGCCCAAAGTGAATACGTATCCTGTAGTGCTTCTTCTCTGGTCTATCTCACCAGCATAGTCTGCATCAACAAAACCCTACAGAACTAACTTGCCTCTTCTGAAGCATAAACAGTCATCTATCGTACCTCGCAGGTATCTAAGAATCCACTTCACTGCTTCCCAGTGCTGCTCTCCTGGATCTGACATAAATCTACTCACTGCTCCCACTGCATGGGCAATGTCAGGTCTCGTGCATACCATGGCGTCCATAAGGCTTCCTATGGCTGAAGCATAAGGAACATTAACCATGTATTCTTTCTCTTCATCAGTCTCGGGGCACTGCTCCTTAGTCATTCTGAAATGACTAGCTAACGGTGTGCTAACGGCCTTAGCACCACTCATCCCGAATCTCTCAAGCACCCGTCGAATATACTCGGCCTGAGATAGTCGCAGTGTGCCCAAGAGTTTATCTCTACTGATCTTCATTCCCAAAATCTGCTTCGCTGCGCCTAGATCCTTCATGTCGAACTCACTCGACAGCTGCTTCTTCAGTTTCTTGATCTCTGTCATATCTGAACCGGCTACTAGCATGTCGTCGACATATAGGAGTAGGATGATGTAACTCTTGTCAAACTCTTTGACAAAACAGCAATGATCAGCATTGCATCTGGAATAACGATGATGTAACTCTTGTCAAACTCTTTGACAAAACAGCAATGATCAGCATTGCATCTGGAATAACCGTTCTTGTGCATGAATCCATCAAACTTTTTGTACCATTGTCTTGGAGCTTGTTTCAGGCCGTACAAGCTCTTCTTTAATCTGCATACCATCCTCTCTTTTCCCTTCTGAGTAAACCCCTCTGGCTGCTGCATATATATCTCTTCCTCTAGATCACCGTGGAGGAAAGCTGTCTTTACATCTAGCTGCTCGAGATGTAGATCTTCAGCTGCAACAATACTCAGGACTGTTCTGATGGTAGTCAGTTTGACTACTGGAGAGAAGATCTCTGTGTAATCAACTCCTTCTCTCTGCTGAAATCCTTTAACCACCAATCTGGCCTTGTATCTCTTGGAATCATCATGTTCCTCTTTGATTCTGTACACCCATTTATTGCTCAAGGCCTTTTTCCCCGTTGGTAGCTTCGCAAGTTCCCATGTCTTGTTGGTGTTCAAGGATTTTATTTCATCTTTCATGGCGAGCTCCCACTTGCTCGCATCATCCACTCGAAGGGCCTCATCATAGCTTTCTGGCTCTCCACCGTCACTCAACAATAGGTAGTTGAGATGAGCTCTGGGCTGTAGTGATGGATACTTTGGATTAGGCTTGGGGACTCTAGCTGGCCGCCTCAACTCTCTAACGGGCGAAACAGTCTCTCCATCTTTATCTGCCCCCTCTGAAGTGGTCTCATCCATCATCTCTTCTTCTTCATCAGAACTAGCTTCGGGATTGGCTCCACTTGAGGCATCATCTGACTCGAAATATGTAGGATCACTCTGCATCGAGCTAGTGGGCTGAACTGCATCACGGTCTTTGTAGAGGACTGATTCGTTAAAGACCACATCCCTGCTTCTGATGATTTTCTTGTTCTGCTCATCCCAGAACTTGTAGCCAAACTCATCGCCGCCATAGCCAACAAAGAAACATTTTAAGGACTTAGGATCGAGTTTGCTTCTAGCATGATCACTCAGATGTACATATGAAACACATCCAAATACTCTCAGGTGAGAGAGATTTACCTGCTTTCCACTCCATACTTCTTCAGGTATTTTGTGCTCCAAAGGCACTGATGGTCCCCGGTTGATCAAGTAGGCAGCTGTGTTGACTGCTTCTGCCCAGAATTGCTTTGGAAAACCTGCTTGTAACCGCATACTTCTGGCTCTCTCAGTCAAGGTTCTGTTCATGCGTTCTGCTACGCCATTCTGCTGGGGTGTACCTGGCACTGTCCTCTCTAATCTAATGCCGCTGTCATAACAGAACTTCTTGAACTCTGAGTCTTCATACTCGCCGCCGTTGTCAGAACGAAGCTTCTTGATCTTCAAACCGGTCTCGTTCTCAACCATAGCCTTCCATCGCTTGAAGACTTCAAACACTTCTGATTTGTGTTTCATGAAATAGACCCAAGTCTTCCTCGAGTGATCATCTATGAAGGTCACAAAATATAACCTTCCGCCGGTGGATGGAACTGATGCTGGACCCCACACATCTGTGTGAACTAACTCAAGCTTCTCTTCCTTAGGGGTTCTGCCAACCCTTTTGAAGCTTATTCTCTTTTGTTTCCCAAGAATGCAGCTTTCACATAAATCAATATCAGCCGATCTCAAACCTGGTAACTTCCCGTTCGATTGCATAACCTTTAGGCCTTTGCTACTCATGTGACCTAGCCTCTGGTGCCACAAATTTGGGTCTTCACTGCCTTCAGCCACTGCAATGGAACCTCGTGCATCTATCATCATGTAGAGAGATCCCGTCTTCGTACCACGGGCAACAACCATGGATCCCTTTGTAACCTTCCATGTATCACATGCAAAGGTTGATACGTATCCCTCTTTCGCCAATTGTCCTATGGAAATCAGATTTTTCCTCAAGCTAGGAACATGTCTCACATCACTCAGCTTCCATGTAGACCCATTGAGCTTGATTTGCACGACTCCTTTGCCAACAATATCACAAGGCTGATCATCACCAAGATAGACCTTTCCTAGGTTTCCTGAAACGTAGTTCTCAAATAAATCTCTATTTGAGGTAGCATGAAACGAAGCTCCTGAATCCAGCACCCACGATTCAGTTTTGCTCTCCAACGAACAGATTAGGGCATCATCTGATTCTCCTGAGGCCACGTTCGCTTCAGTCTTGTTCTCCTTGTCCTTCTTGGGTTCTCGGCACTGATTCTCATAGTGGCCAAACTTGCCACAATTCCATCAATCGATCCCTTTCTTGCTCTTGCAGTTTCTGGACTTTGATCTGTCTTTCCTCGAATTAGGTCTTCCACGGATATTCCCTCTATTTTTGTTTCTGTTTCTGGCTCTGCTCTCAAATTTCAACGCCGACCCTGAATTAGAAATTCCTTCCTCTTGCCTTCTAATCTCCTCAGTCATAATCATGTCCACCACCTCTGAAAACTTTAGTTTTGATTTGCCACATGATCCGCTAATCGAGATAACGGTACCCTTCCAACTGTCGGGCAATTGACCAAGTATCAAGAGGGCTTGGATTTCATCGTCAAACTGAATATTGACCGAGTTTAGTTGATCCGTGATCTCGTTAAACTCGTTCAGGTGTTCCTTGAATTTCTGGCTCTCGGACATCCTCAAATTAAACAACTTTTTAATGAGATGTACCTTATTCGCCGCAGAGGGCTGCTCATACATACTGGACAACGCCGCCATGAGATCCGCCGTCGTATTCTGATTCTTGATGTTGAACGCTACTGATTTAGACAAGGTCAACCTGATCGCTCCAAGGGCCTTTCGATCCAATAGCTTCCAATCCGCATCTTTCATATCCGTCGGCTTCTCTCCCAATGGTAGGTATAAATCCTTCTGATAGAGGTAGTCCTCCATCTGCATCTTCCAGAACCCGAAGTTTGTTCCATCAAACTTCTCAATCTTGGATGTTTCCTTCTCAGATCCCATTGTCTCTGACCTCAAATCGCTCGCGCCGAACCTGGTCGCTCTGATACCACTTGTTGGGGATGCACAACCCCCCTGATGCGATTTGGAAATAGAGATTTAGGAGAGAAGAGAGAAAATCAAACAATCTCAAACACACAAGATTTACGTGGTTCGCTTCTCAATGTGAGAAACTACGTCCACGGCCGCCGCAGGAGAAAAATTCACTAATTTTCGTCTCAATACATCATGCCCTAGCCAACCCTTTTATAGACTTAAGGGTTTAACCAATAAAGAAGGAAACAGAACAAAACAGGTTAAAATTCGAAACTGGGCCAAAACCCGACTCCGGTCGACCGCAGCACCACGTGCGGTCGACCGCGACGAATCCTATTCCTGATCGAGCTCTCTGGACTTTGGGCGGTCGACCGCAGCGACATGCTCGGTCGACCGCGACGAAGACAGAACTCTGGCCTGCTCTCTGGACTTTGAGCGGTCGACCGCAGCGCCACATGCGGTCGACCGCGATGAGCTCCTGGCCTGTGCACCCAGCTGTGCACATAGGCGGTCGACCGCCGCGCCATGGTCGGTCGACCGCAAAGCTGTAAAATCTCTTCTTCGTTGTTTTGCTTGAACTTCGTCGTCGTCGATCATGTTCCTCCTGTTCCAACTTTGTTCCTCCTCTCTTCTAAAGCATAGGGCATATCTGATAGTTAGGCTTCACATATCCTAACATAAACTCTCCACATATAGTATCATGTACATTTTTTCTGACAACATTGATTGATACTGAACTACTATAAATCAAATTAAATGTATTATGTGGAGACATATATCCAATGGTGCCTCGTGTGCTTGTTGATCCTGCAAACCTACTATCGTCGATCATCAGTTTGGATATACCAAAGTCACTAACATGGGCAATCATGTTTTCGTCCAGCAACACATTGCTCGGCTTTATGTCACAATGCACTATAACGTGGGGATGACGATGGTGAAGATACTCAATTGCTTGCGCACATCCATCATTATATTTATCCTCTGGAGCAAGTTCAAGTAGTAGTCCTCAGAGTACAACCACTTCTCAAGACTTCCATTCGACATAAACTGAAGGATTAAAGCCTTGAAATCCAAGTTAGAACATGTGCTGATTATTCTCAAGATGTTTCAATGCCGAACAGCGCTCAAAGTATGACACTCTGCATCGAAACTTCTTGAAGCTCCATGAACATCTAAATTCAAGACCTTTACTGCAACGAGCAGTCCATCATTGAGTTGTGCTTTGAAGACTAAGCCAAAGCTGCTGGTTCCCAGTAAGTTGGCGTCACTGAAGTTATCAGTTGCAGCAACCAGCTCATGATAGGAAATCAATCGATGATTTGGCCATTTTATGTCATCATTAGTCGGGGGTTGAACTAGCCTTCTTTTCCAAAATCTCATAAGAAAGTACAAACATGTGAGAAGAAGAACAAAGCTGATAACTGGGAGGATAATTCTGAGCAAATGTAGTTTTTTATTTGAAGAAGTACTAGTATTTGTTGAGCACTGGGAAAGCCAAGTCTAGGCGCACCACAGAGTGCTAAACTACCCTCCAAAGTAGGAATACTGACATTTGAAAATACCCTACCACCAGGGATTTTCCCTGATAGTTTGTTGAAAGAGAAGTCGAGGATATTAAGATGACGAAGATTGGCTAGAGACTCCGGTATGGCACCCGAAAGAGAATTACATGATATGTTGATATAATTGATATTAATCAATCCCCCAAGTGATTCAGGAATTTGACCATGGAAATCATTACTAGAGAAATCTATATGAGAAAGCATATGAAGCTCACCTAATGTGCTTGAGATGTTACCTGAAAGCCTATTCTTCTGTTAAAGTAAGAGAGAAAGTCTTGGGTAAATTTCCCCTTGAGTTGAATATTGAGTGTGCACATATATTTATATAAGTAGAGGAGTGATGTGTGTTCTCATAACCAATGTGGGACTAAAAACCCACTACTAACACTATTATCAACAGACCCCCTCAAACCCATGTTAGATCAAACAAAGTGAGTTTGCGTACAAGAAACTGGAACCGATGAACATGTAAGGCCTTTGTGAAGAAATCTGCAAGCTCGTCGGCGGTGACACATGAGGAAGTAGAATTATTTTATCCTTGATAACTTGTTGATGGACAAAATGAGCGTCGATCTCAATGTGTTTGGTCCTCTCATGAAATACTGAATTATTAGCAATCTGGATGGCACTCTTATTATCACAATATAGAGGAGTAGGAGTCGAAACAAAAATACTGAAATCACTAAGAAGACGACGAAGATGAATAATCTCTTTAGATGTTTGGATATTGCACGATACTCTGTCTCGATGCTGGAAAGAGCAACAACATCTTATTTCTTACTCCGCCAAGAAATTAGGGAATCACCAAGAAATATATAATAACATGTGGTAGACTTTCTGGTAGTAGGATCACCAGCCCAATCAGCATCAGAATATGCACAAATCTCTAACTTGAATGTAGCAGGAAATAGAAGAGAGCGAGTGCTAGTAGCCCGGAGATACCGAAAAATCTGTAATAAGATAGCATAGTATACAGAACGTGGGGCACTAATAAATTGACTGACAATACCAACAGCATGAGAGATATCTGGTCGAGAGATGCACAGATAGACCAACTGGCCAATAAGATATCGATATCGGGTAGGATTAGATAGAGGCTCACCATCAGTAGAATGAAGTTTAACATTCTGTTGGAGTGGAGTATCTACAGTTGCATCATCAGTTAGCTCAACTCGATCTAGAATATCTGAGAGATACTTTTGCTGAGACAGTAGTACACCCCGCGGGCCTTAAAAAAATTTTAGACCAAGAAAATACCGAAGAGATCCAAGATCCTTCATGTGGAACTGTTGTTACAACTGAGATTTTGCAATACCGAAGAGATCCAAGATCCTTCATGTGGAACTGTTGTTACAACTGAGATTTTGCGTATTGTATACTAGCCACATCATCACTTGTAATGATCATATCATCTACATAGATGAGTAATAAAACTCTGCCACGCGATGTAGTGCGAACAAACAGAGAAGCATCTTGATGATTTTCCATAAAGACTGCTTTGAGCACGACATCACGAAAACAGTCAAACCAAGCACGGGGTGCCTGCTTGAGACCATAAACAGCACGGCGAAGGAGACATACATGTTCCAGAGGAATATTGGACCCTGAAGACAGTTGCATATATACTATCTCAGATAAAGAGCAATGGAGAAAAGCATTTTTGACATCTATCTGGTATAACGACCAATGATGAGCAGCAGCGATCGCAAGAAGAGTACGAATTATGGGCATCTGAGCAACAGGAGCAAATGTCTCCTCATAATCAATACTTTGTTGCTGAGTAAAACCTCGAGCCACTAAACGAGCTTTCCGACATTCAATGGTGTCATCAGGACGATATTTGACCTTATAAACTCATTTACTGTCAACTAAAAAGATGTCAGAGGGATAGGGAATGACATCTCAGGTATGTGTTTGCTGAAAGGCTTAAAATTCCTCAGCCATAACCTATCACCACTCTAAAAATTGAACGGCCTTTTGAAAGGACTTTGGCTCAACTGTAGTATGAATGGCAGTAAGAAAATTATAAAAGATAGATGAATATGAAGTAATCGAAGCATATCGTGTAGGCATGACATGTGGGCGTTTGCCTCGACAAAGAGCAAGAGGAAGCTCAGGCGGGGGAGATGCTGGCGCAGGTGCATGGAGGTCAATAATATTTTCTGGAGTGGGTGTCGTATATACGGGATAGGGATCAGATGGTAAAAGAGAAGGCTCGAGTAAGGGAGAGTCAACAAAAGGAGATGGAGAGATTTCAGGGAGATCTCGAAAGGAGAACCGACGTAAGGAAGTAGGTGATGCAGCTGATGGAGAAGCACGATCAGTAGTGTGGAGAAAATTAAAATCATCGAAAGTAGAATAAAATGGAGAATCCTCTTCGAACTGAACATGTCGAGATATATGAACTCGACGAGATGCGGGATCATAACAATGATAATCTCGATGTTCCAAACTAATTCCTAAATAGACACGGAGAATAGCTCTGGAAGGCAATTTATCACGTTTATGAGATGGCAGAAGAACGAAGCAGTGACAACCAAAAACGCGGACTAGATCATAACGGGAAGGATGAGTATAAACACGACTATGAGGAGTAGCATCAGAAAGAGAGCTAGATGGAGTGATATTAATAACATGAGTAGTAGTGAGAATGGCCTCAGCCCAGAAACGACGAGGAACAGAGTAAGAAATGAGCATGGATCAAGCGGTATCAAGAATATGATGATGTTTACGTTCAGCAATACTATTTTGCTCATGAGTGTAAGGACATAACTGTTGAAAGATAGTCCAATGAGAGGACATGATAGAGCGCATGATAGAGGATAGAGCGCATGATATAGGATAGGTACTCTTTGGCACAGTCAGAACGAAAAACTTTAATATTTAATACGAGCTTGCCACTGAGTGAAGATCATCGCAGTGAAGGCTTGATAAGCAGCATGTATGTCAGAGCGATTTTTAAGTAAGTAGACTCATGTATAACAAGAGAAATCATCAATAAAACTATAATAATATAAGTAGCTAGATGAAGAAGACAGAGGAGTTGGCCCTTAGATATCAGAATAGACCAAATCAAATAAGAAAGTAGAAACAGATGTGCTGATTGGAAACAGTAGAGCAGTGAATTTAGAGCGAATTTAGCCAATTTACAACCAGTACATAACTCAATATGAGAATGAGAGGATACATGACCAAGTACTCCGGACTGGATAAGACTTTTCAGCCTTTTATGAGATACATGACCAAGTCGTCTATGCCATAAATCTACGGAAAGCAAGAGAGATGATTTTGGACTTACAGAAGCAACAAGAGAACGTGGACGTATGGACTCTAAAAGATGAAGATATTCTAGAAAATAAAATTTGTGTCTTCTCTAGTCGGCCCTAACAGTCTTGCCCGTCTATGGATCCTGCACAATACAAGTATCAGAAGAAAATGAGACAAATAAGCTATCCATATATAAGGAGCTAACAGAAATTAAATTCAAACACAACTTAGGAGCCATATAGACGGAGCCAAGAGTTAGACGACCAGATGGGCCAGTTTGTGGCTTGATAAAACCATACTGAGCGATAGATAAAGGTTGACCAGTACCTATGTAGATAGGGGGAAAAGAAGAAGAAGTGGAGACAGAAGATAAGAGGGAGTCATTATGAGTCATATGAAAGAAATAACCAGAGTCAAAAATCCAGAGATCGTTCATACCAGAGACCGAAGGGTTGACTGAAGAACCAGCAATACGCATATCAGAGAGTTGTACAGTAGATGAAGAGGCTCTATGCTAAAGAGCATAAATTTGATGGCGAATATCAGAGAGTTGTGCAGCAGATGGAGATGTGGTATACTGAAGGGCTGCAAATTGACGGCTAATATTTGCAATAGCTTGAAGAGCCTCAATTTGACTGCGAATATCAGAGAGTGTGACGCCCCTGGGTTCACACAAGGCTACAGTCCAAGGTGAAACCAAGAATGTCAAACCTGCCATGCACCATACCGTGCAATAACATGTTTCACCATCACAATTAACATCTGTCTAGTAGAATCAATAACTGGTGTAGGTACAAAACAGGTAAAAGGTTATACAAGGAATACTGATGAAATGATAACAGTCACATAAATATCTCATCATCCAACAATACAGAAATACATAGCCAAAATCTGAGTAGATAAATCTGGAATACTCAACAAGTCTCATATACAAATGTCTGACAAGAAGGAAATAAGGCACATAGCCTTTACAACTTCTAGAACAATACTGCCAAATGTCTAATAAAAACTACAATGGAGCTCCAACATGAACAGAACTAGACAGCTAAACACTAAGGTGTGTCGCCATCAACCTGCGACTCTCCGGGCTCCTGGCTCGTTACCTGAAAGGGGGAGGGACAACGAGCGTCAAGCGCTAGCGAGCAACATCACAACCAACCCCAAGGGAATAGGGCTCGTTGTATAAGAAAATACAGTTATCACAAAACATATATATAGATATATATATAGGCAATTATCCTAGAAATGAACAATGGGCTTTAGTACTTAGGAAGTTTCAACACGGGCATAGGTACGTCGAGCGAAATAATCCAAACAAGGAAACCCTCATATATATACCTTGTATCCCAAATTGAAAATCCCTAAGTACCAAACCCGGAGTCTAATACGTGAACAGAAAATAAATAAAAGGAAAGACAACCCATCTCAGAACATAAGTAGAGTATCATGTGGTGTCCCATGCCATAAAATATCAAGTCGTATTCTACATAAGTGTCATTCCCAGTCTAGGTAGCTATCATGTCTTAACGGTATCAAAAAGTCGTGTTCCAAAACTCAAATGTGTACCATGCTCAAGGTTTGGCAAAAATGTCCAACACATGGACTAAAAGTGATGTAGGTCCAACACATGGACTGAATAGAATGCATGTCCAACACATGGACCAAGATGGTAAGTATCCAACACATGGATCAGAATAATGTATTGTCCAACACGTAGACTATAAATGAAGGAAATGTAATTTATCACTTGCATACATGTAAAAATACACCAAATCTAAACCCGCACGCATCCCGATGTACATGTCTAAACTCATGTCAAAAGTCAACCCACATGCACAGATAAATCATTAACGTGATAAACTAGGGTCAGGTTACCGAGGCGACCCCGAAAGACAACTTAAACAGATCAAGAATCTGTAAAACAGCTCATCAGTCGACTGATGTGTCGACTGATGACGTCAGTCGACTCATACGTCGACTGATGGAGCTCAGACAGCACAGCCTCAGCTCGCCAGTCGACTGACCAGTCGACCGAGAAGCTGAGAAAGCAGAATCAGCCTGTCAGTCGACTGATCAGTCGACTGATGGTTGAACAATTTGCCTGTCGGTCGACTGATCAGTCGACCGACAGACTGCAGATAATCTGTACAGGTTCTTATGTGCCAAAAATTTGATCCAAACTCATCCCCATTCAATTCTAAGATGAATCAGACGGATATTAACATGTATCGACTAACTGAAATCATAACTTTCACATACATATACATGAATAAAACTCTAATACATAAGTATTTATGTTAAAAAACCACTTCAAAATCAAAACCCATGTTAAATCTCTTAAAACATTTCCAGATCTGATTTTAATATTACAAACATTGTTGGTAGTCTATTTATTATACTGAAAATGCACATCTTCATGTTACACAATAAAAATCAATCTTTGTTACTCAAAATACGTTTATAGTCTCAATAGTATCTCAATAAAACATTCTGAAAAGTTTTAAAAGAATGGGACAAGGTTGCGCGAGATGTTACACTCGCCTCTGAAGGTGATGAAGGCGTTCCTGATCTGGGGGAGTGATTCCTTCTCGCTGCGCAAACTGAATGATCCCGACGAAAATCTCCAATTCGCTCCCAAATCACCAAGAACTATTTCCTAGAGGTTGAGAAATGAGAGGCTCATTGTCTTTGGTCTGTGAAGAGAGAGAGTGGATGATTTCGGGTGAAGGAGACTTATTATGCACCCTTAAACCAGACCCAATACACCGAATCAAAACAAAAACAGACCGCGAAACACTGTAAAAACTAGAAATGCAGCGAATCAGTCGACTGATTGTGTTCGACTGGATACAGTCAGTCGAATGATTGTGTTCGACTGATCTGGACATTTTCAGTTTTGTGCATGCTTTTGCCTTATTTGCCAAAACCATACAGCCACAAACTCTACAACCCATTACTTCATATCATCTCAAATAAATTGTTATCATGTACATCAATGACCTCAAGCTATTTATTAACTAAGAACTTAGTTTAGTTATAATAATTCATATATATTCATATACTTAAAAATTTTACGGGCGTTCTACAGAGACGTTTGCAGCATATGAGAGTGGTGGTATGCTGAGAGCGGTAATTTGACAGCCTAATATCTGCCCAATAATTTTGATGGTATGGGTTAACAGTGGTAGATGGTATAACATTGACCGATAATCCTGGTGTACTAGAGGATCGGGACTGAGGGGATCGCTGACTACGGTTAGCTCATGAGGAACGTAACTCAGGATGAAGATGGAAATATATCTCAAAGCGGTATCTCTCCTTCTTGCAATAGGTGCAAAAGAGTTTAGACCGAGCTTGAGAAGCAGGTGCCAGTGAAGAGGCCATAATAGTAGCAATTCAAAGTTCAAGATAATAATCCTTGAACGCAACCCGAATGTTTAAAGGAGAACCTGAAGGTTAATGTAGAAACCCGAAGGTTAAAATGTAAGAACCCTAAGGTTAAATTTGAACCCGAAGGTTATAGATGACTGTCAAATCTGAGAAAAAAATAAGTAACCGGCGACCAAGGTTGCCCGAAGATCGGCCATATCTGATGCTCACGTCAGAGACCTACAACGGATTAATGCCGATGTTGAGATGTTGAGACGTCAAGATGGATTGAAACGGCGATGCCGTTACTGACTGTGAAACGGCAATGCCATTTGTTTGAGGTCGAGAGACGTCTTGAAACGGTGATGCTGTTAATTTGAGACCGAGAGACGGTCTTGAAAAACCGCTATGTTGTAAATTTGAGATCAAGAGATTATCTTGAAACGGTAATGCAGTTAAAATAGAAACCGAATATTTAAAATATAACCCCGAAGATTAAAATGGAACCCGAAGGTTAAACGAGAACGCGAAATGCGTTAAGAGTCCGTAAAGCGGCAAGTCCAAAAATCTGACAGAGGAATGCAAAAAAACGTTAAACGACTGCAAAGCAGCAAGTCCAAGATTTGGCAAAAAATTGCAGAAGGGTTAAAAAAATTTATTGCAAGTGAAATAATAACCCTAGTTCTGATACCATGTTAAAGTAAGAGAGAGAGTTTTTGTTAAATTTCCCCTTGAGTTGAATATTGAGTGTGTACAAATATTTATATAAGTAGAGGAGGGTGAGGTGTGTTCTCACAACCAATATGGGACTAAAAACCCATTACTAACACTACTATCAACACTATTATCAACATCTTCGATACATCAAATTTGTCTAAGGCATTCAAGTTCTGCACCTCAGGAGTAATTCCACCATCTAAAGTATTTTGCGACAGGTTAAGTTCAGTCAATCCTTCTAAGCACCAAAATGCTTGAGGAACATTTGATGATAATTTGTTAACAGCCAGTGACAAGTGTTGTAGCTTACTGAGATTGCCAAGAGACTCAGGTATCCTTCCAGAGAGCAAATTCTCAGGAAGGCTCGGTACATTCAAGCTTATCATTTGACCGAGCTCAAAAGGGATCGGTCCAGTAATCCTATTCAAATCCATATACATCACTTGAAGATTTTGTAGGTTTGTGATCTCTGACGGTATTGATCCTGTCAGCTGATTTTTATAAAGAGTAAGAAAAATAAGGCCACTCAAGTTACCTAATCCTGCAGGAATCTTACCCTGTATCCTATTCTGCTCAGTGTGAAGATATTGAAGATTATGCAAGAGATTCCCTACAGAATCTGGAAGAAAACCTCCGATATTATTTTCTGAAATATCTATAAAGCGCAGATTCTTTCAGTTCGTAAGAGATGTGATGAACTCAAGCCCCCCACTTAGTTGGCTCTGTGCTAAATACAATCCTGCAAGTTGTGGCATAAACTTTCCAAGTGCATCAGGCAATGGCCCTGTCAGTTTGTTGTCATAGAGCGAAAGACCGTTAAGCTTAGAGGCATTCAGTATAGACATAGGTATTGTACCTGTTAAACCATTATTAGCCAAGTTTAGTTCTTGCAGGTTTAGTAAATTTCCCAGCTCACCAGGAATTGTCCCTTCCAGGTTATTTTGCCCGATTGTGTTAGTCTAAGGTGTAGACCCAAAGTTCGAGATGAAAGCTGGAATCAAAAGGACGAGAAAACGAGCAAACAGAACAGCGGTCGACCGGGTCAGTCGACCGGGTCGGTCGACCGCGAACGTGCACAGGAGCAAGGAGGGCTTGGATCAGGTCGCGGTCGACCGGCCCGGTCGACCGCCAAAACCCTGTAGGAGAAACTGCTCTCGGGTTTTGCATCGGTCGACCGCGCCGGTCGACCGCCAAACTCTCTGGAGTCCGTTCGGTCGACCAGTCCTGTTCTGCTGGGGTTTGTTATAAATACCCAAACGTTTCTAGGGTTTGTAGGACATCAAAAAGAGAGCTTTTTGGCTGCTAAGAGAGAGAGAATCTCAGAGAGATTTACCCCTTGTTTGAGAGCTTGTATTTTCTTCTTCAATTAATAGAAAGATTGTGTGGTGTGGCTCCCGAGGACGTAGGCACGTTGCCGAACCTCGTTAAATCTCTGTGTTCATCTCCTTTACTGTTTTTTTGCAAGTTAGATCTTTATTTGTGGTTTTATTCCTACTTTCCTACTTTCAACACAAGGTCCGGAAGGGCAAGGGTTCGATTGATTGTTTCGAATCCCCAACAACTGGTATCAGAGCTTCGTTCAGCAATTTGTGTGAAAGCCATGGCAGAGGAAAGCAAATCAAAGATTGAGAAGTTCGACGGATCGGATTTCGCCTACTGGAAGTCGCAGATGGAGGACTATCTGTACCAGAAGGACTTGTATCGCCCGCTGATGGGCAAGGAAAAGGGAAAGAAGAAAGAGGAGTCAGATGGTGATTGGGAGGTACTGGATAGGAAGGCTCTAGGGCAAATCCGGTTGTCGCTCGCCAAATCAGTAGCCCACAATATTCTGAAGGAGAAGACGACGGTGGGGCTTATGGAAGCGCTCGCGAAGATGTACGAGCAACCGTCGGCAGCAAACAAGGTGCATCTAGTCAAAACTCTTTTCAACCTCAAGATGGCAGAAGGACGGTCCTTCACGATGCACCTCAGCGAGTTCAACACGATTGTTGATCAACTTATCTCCGTGGACATCACGTTCGATGACGAAGTGCAGGCCCTTCTACTACTATCGCAGTTGCCGGATAGTTGGGCAGGTTGTGTGACGGCAATCAGCAATTCGGCGGGGAAAGAGAAGTTGAAGCTGAATGAGGTTGTTAGCATGATTCTATCCGAGGAGGGTAGAAGGAAATCATCCGAATCAGAAGGTTCAGGTTCAGCCCTAAGTTTCGAGCAGAGAAGCAGAAGCCAGAAGAAAGGGAACCAAAACAGGAATCGGTGGAAATCAGTGAAGAAGAGGCCGAACTCGAAGGTTAGGTCTATCAAAGGGAAGTGTTGAAACTGCGGCCAGGAGGGCCATATGTCTTCGGGGAAGTGTTGGAACTACGGCCAGGAGGGCCATATGTCTTCGGTCTGTAAAGCACCAAAGAAGGATACGGGTGAGCAGGAGGCTCATATCGTGCAGGATACCTTGATCCTTGCTATGGATAGAGACTCTGATTCTTGGGTCATCGACTCAGGAGCCTTTGGTAAAGTATACTTGGGGGATAATGAACCTTGCAATATTGTTGGAAAGGGCGACGTTCAGATACAGATAAAGGGCTCTAAGTGGAACTTGAAGAACGTGAGACACGTGCCGAAGCTGAAGAGGAATCTTGTTTCGGTGGGACAGCTTGGAGCAGAAGGCTACGTTTCGACATTCACCGGGGATTCGTGGAGAATCTCCAACGGTACGATGGTTGTTGCCCGAGGCAATAAAACAGGAACTCTCTACCTCACTTCACATGCGAGTGACACCCTCACAATTACAGCTGGCAAGGAGTATAGATCTGTGGCACAATAGGCTGGGGCACATGAGCGAGAAGGGGATGAAAATTCTACATTCACAAGGAAAGCTAACCGGGATCGACACCGTGGAAGTCGGGGTTTGTGAAGACTGCATCTTTGGGAAGCAAAAGAGGGTTAGTTTCCAGAAGGGTGGAAGGCCACCTAAGGCTCAGAAGCTAGAGTTGATTCATACAGATGTATGGGGCCCAGCCAGTGTGTCTTCTTTTGGCGGTTCGAGATACTACGTCACCTTTATCGACGATCACTCGAGGAAGGTGTGGGTTTACTTCATGAAGCACAAGTCAGAGGTGTTCGAGATCTTCAAGAAGTGGAAGGCCATGGTCGAGAACGAGACAGATCTGAAGGTGAAGTGCTTAAGATCAGATAATGGTGGAGAATACGAGCTGGAGGAGTTCAAGAGGTTCTGTGCTACGAATGGGATTCGCTTAGAGAGGACTACTCCAGGGACGCCGCAGCAGAACGGCATTGCAGAGAGGATGAACAGGACCTTGACAGAGCGTGCGCGGAGCATGCGATTACATGCAGGTCTGCCTAAGACATTTTGGACGGATGCGGTGCATACGGCAGCATACCTTATTAATCACGGGCCATCAGTTCCATTAGATTTTGGGATTCCAGAGGAGGTTTGGAGTGGAAAGAAGATAAATCTCTCACACTTGCGGGTATTTGGTTGCGTGGCTTATGTTCATATCAGTGACCATGTCAGGGACAAGCTAGAAGCTAAGTCACAGAAGTGCACATTCATTGGATACAGCATTAATGAGTTCGGGTATCGCCTTTGGGATGAGAAGAATAGGAAGATCATCAGGAGCCGGGATGTGATATTCAATGAGGAGGTGATGTACAAGGACAGGGATAATGCCAAGGATAGCCAAAGCAGTGGGAACAGCACTACGGATATAGGTGGATCCGAGTACATGGATTTGGAGGAACTTCTAGATGGGGACGACGATGTCAGTTCTGACCGTAGAACAGAGGAGACTACAGGTGCAGAAGCTACTACCCAGGGCGTGGAGCCTAGGAGGTCATCTAGGGTACCCAAACCAAATCCCAAATACCTCTCGTCACTTGATTATCTACTCTTAACAGATAGCGGAGAACCGGAGTGTTATGAAGAGGCAGTGCAAGTGAGTGAATCTCAGCAGTGGGAGCATGCGATGCAGGAGGAGATGGATTCTCTACTCACTAATGAGACATGGGAGTTAGCCCAGCTACCTGCGCAGAAGAAAGCCTTGCACAATAAATGGGTCTACCGGGTCAAGCAGGAGAGTGATGGAAGCAAGAGATTCAAGGCCAGATTAGTAGTGAAAGGGTTTCAACAACGGGAAGGAGTGGACTACACGGAGATATTTTCCCCTGTTGTGAAACTCACAACCATCAGAGTGGTGTTGAGTTTGGTAGCTGCAGAAGACCTCTTCCTTGAGCAGTTAGATGTGAAGACTGCCTTTCTTCATGGTGACTTGGATGAAGAAATCTACATGAAGCAGCCTGTTGGCTTCATTGAAGAAGGAAAGGAAGAGATGGTGTGCAAGCTCAAGAAGAGCTTATATGGTTTGAAACAGGCTCCGAGACAGTGGTATAAGAAGTTTGATAACTTCATGCAGAACAATGGCTACAGAAGATGCAATTCGGATCATTGCTGTTATTTCAAAAGGTTCGAGTCCAGCTTCATTATTTTGTTATTATATGTTGATGACATGTTGGTAGCAGGACCGTGTTTAGAAGAGATAAACAGTTTGAAGAGGCAGCTAGCAAAGGAATTTGCAATGAAGGATCTGGGTGCAGCGAAGCAGATTCTAGGGATGCGAATCAGTAGGGATGAAGCTGAAGGGACATTGAGTTTGAGCCAAGCTGAATACATTGAGAAGGTACTTCAGAGGTTCAACATGCAGAATGCTAAAGTTGTTAGCACACCCCTTGGAAGTCAGTTCAAGCTATCTGAGGAGCAATCGCCTAAGACAGATGCAGATAGAGAGCATATGAGCAGGGTGCCATATTCTTCGGCCATTGGGAGTCTCATGTACGCGATGGTTTGCACGAGACCGGACATCGCCCATGCAGTGAGAGTTGTGAGCAGATTTGCAAGCAATCCAAAGAAGCAGCATTGGGAGGCCGTGAAGTGGATAATGCGGTACTTGAGAGGGACAACAAAAAAACCACTATGTTTTCAGGAGGAAGGAGTTGGTGCTGCAGGGACACGTGGATGCGGACTTCGCCGGTGATCATGATACGAGACGAAGCACCACGGGGTATGTTTATACCTTAGCGTCGACAGCAGTGAGCTGGGTCTCACGTCTGCAGAAGATTGTGACTTTATCTACAACCGAGGCTGAGTATGTCGCGGTGACTAAAGCAAGTAAGGAGATGATCTGGTTGAACGGGTGCTTGGAAGAGTTGGATCTAAAGCAAGGAAGAGGAGTTCTTTATTGTGATAGCCAGAGCGCTATACATCTTGCCAAGAATCTAGTATATCATGCCAGAACGAAGCACATCGATGTCAAATACCATTTTATACGCTCGCTGATTGAAACGAAAAGTTGCATTTGATAAATTGGGGAGTCAAAATCTGACGGACATGTTGACGAAGGCAGTCACCATTGAGAAACTGGAGTTGTGCGCAACTTCAGTTGGCCTTCACGAGTAGAAGACAAAGGCGGAGCCACACTACGAGGATCGGCGAGATCGTCGGGATATTGTTGATTGAAGGAAGAATTTTTTTCGGGGGAAAAGATACATGCGAAGAAGGGGAGAGTTCGGGGAAACTCATTGCAGGCACTTTGGTCTCCAAGTGGGAGATTGTTAGTCTAAGGTGTCTGTTCGGTCGACCGGACGTAGTTTTGGCAGTTTCCTGTTCCGCTTGGGATTTTGTTTCAACCAGGATTCTATATATACCCCAAACGATTTTAGAGTTTGTACTACATCAAAAGAGAGCTTTTTGACTGCAAAGAGAGAGAGAATCTCAGAGAGATTAACCCCTTGTTTGAGAGCTTGTATTTTCTTCTTCAATTAATAAAGAGATTGTGTGGTGTGGCTCCCGAGGACGTAGGCACGTTGCCGAACCTCGTTAAATCTGTGTGTTCATCTCCCTTACTGTTTTCTGCAAGTTAGATCTTTATTTGTGGTTTTATTCCTACTTTCCTACTTTCAACACAAGGTCCGGAAGGGCAAGGGTTCGATTGATTGTTTCGAATCCCCAACAGATTGCGAGGTCTAATAGCTGAGTGAGATTTCCTAGAGAGATTGGTATCTTTCCATTAAACTGATTCGCTTCGAGATACAAAACTATGAGTTCTGGCAAGTCTCCAAGCCATCCTGGTATATTCCCACTAAACTCATTGTAAGCCAAATCCAATATCTGTAGATTCCTGAACCGAGAAATGCCCAAATGTATCATTTTTTACCTGATTAACCGAGAAATATCCAAAGGCATTTCTCCTGCAAACTGATTAACTGACATGGAGAGCTCCTGGATTTGAGGGGGGACATCAAATGTATCATTTTTTACCAGTAAAGGACCCAACAGGTTGTTTCGGCCAAAGTAGATAAATTTCAATGACGACATGTTGAAAAAGTTGGGAGGAATTGAACCAGAGAGGTGATTACGATTGAGAACGAAGAGAGAGAGCCGAGACAAAAAACAAAGGGATTCTGGGATTGTACCAGAGAAGCTGTTATTGCTGAGGTCTAAGCGAGAGAGGAAAGTGAGGTTGGAGATTTGAGGAGGAATGGTGCCAGAGAGTGAGAAACTTGTGAGCTCGATGGCTGTAACTCGCTGGTGTCTGCGGCTGCAGGATACGCCAATCCAATTGCAAGAGGAAGTGTTGGTTGTCCAGCTGACGGATAAAATGTGTTGTGGATCAACAACATGGTTCTTGAAGGCTAGTAGAGACTGGAGGTCAGTGAAGTTGTTGTGTTGCAATGATGTGACTAAAGGATAAGGAGAGGAGAGTAGCAAGAGGATGAAGAGTTTGATGACCATGAGTAGCTCCAGCTCCATGGAAAACTGAGAGAAAAAGTTTAAAGGGCCTTGTTATATTTGCTAAGAGGTGACCTGCACGTTATTGTGGTGGAAATTAAGATAAAGACATTTTGAAAATTGAAGATGGCGTGCACCAGAGGGATATCATATATTGTTCCTGTTGTGTGCAGAAATGTCATAGGAACAGAATATATTTGCAGTCCTTTTGAAATTTCCAAGTCCTCACTCAAGACTTTTATGAAGACTAATCTATCTCAAGAAGATCAGTTTTTCCCCACTTAATAAAGAAAATAATCATATTCCTCCACTAAGGATATGTAACAGATGCATAGCCAAAAAGATTAAGACCGATATACCAACTCGCTGAAGGAGAGGTCCAGAGTAAGGATATAACAAATTAGCCGAGACGATAAATCCACCGAGTAACTCAGCTATCTGACCTTGGAACAAATTATTAGAAAAATCTAGGTATGTGATCATTTGGATTAACCAGTTGAGTTAATTGTGAGTATTCTCAAAGATCTGGTATCTACGGCTTGTGTTTCTAAGGGTGCATTGATTTTAACATGTGAGATTAATGTTCAATGACAACTATTTGTATTTGTGCATGTCTTCTGATAAGTTTTGATTACGACTGCATGCTTCTTTGGATACTTACAGGGCAATATCATGTTGGCGCATGTGGTTAAATCTGGAATAATACAGATATATAACAGCAAAAACTGAACAGAAAACTAAAGTGTAATAATTTAAAATTATTCAACTCAGCTGTTGTGCGTTTGTAAAACACTGTGCTTAAAATATTATTTGGCCTACTCCGGTGCACGCAAGAATCCCAAGGCCAAATTGCTTCCAGGAACAGCAGTCCAGTACTCTGGTGTGCACCAACCCAGTACTGTCAAGATCTTCTCGATCTATCAGGCAAAAATCTCCTTGATCTATCAGGCAAAGATCTCCTCGATCTATAAGACCTTCTAGGTCTAGGCATTGTTCCTACGAGCACTAGCTATTCTACAACAAATATATCTGTAAATATTGATTGTTGTTTTTGGAATGAATTTTCCTTAAGGATTTAAGGTCTATTTATAGCGTTTGGAAAAATAATATGCACTAATAAAATAATATATTTTACTATGCATGTGAGGCCCACGTACTAATTTTTCTTCGGTGGGGCCACCACTTTATTCGAATTTCAAATTTGGCTGCTTCTTTTTCAAAGATGGTGGCTGTTAAAGAAACTCATGGGCGGCTGTTACACAAAAAACAAAATATCCAACATACCAATCTGTTCCTGATGCCTTCTGATTATTGAGAGCAAAAGAAATGTTCGAAGAGATTCAGATAAAGGACTTAGTCAGGCATTGTCAAAATTTTCAGAGTATCTCGTAGTTGGTCATGGGTAATGACTAATTTTATATGTACATGTTTCCTTAAGGATTATTCGAAATATATGTCTCTTATAAAATATCTGTACATTTCCACAGTTTGTGAATCTTAGGCCTTGCTAGAGCCGGCAATCTCTAGCTAAGGATATGGGACCATCAACCATTTATAGTAGCACAATAGTAGCCCTTTTTGAGTGCCTAGGGATGACAAATTTTAAACCCTGTCCTTGTCAAATTCCAGTAGTGTCTGGTTAAATATCTTTCAACGTGTCACATGTTAGAATACAAAAATATAACCCTCAACCATCACCATAACTTTAGATTTTTGGTGTAACGGCTAGAGTGATTAAAATAGCATTGGAACAACCTATGTTCAAATCCCACCAGCCACTAATTTATAAATTTAAAGCAGACTTTCTAAATAATGATAAATATATAACATCACAGGTCTAGGATCAAAGCTCACTTATAACATTAGACTATAGAGTGTGGACAGATCTGAGGTCAGACCCATTTTGACTTTAGGACTTCAAGAATGGTGTCTACTTTTGACAATAATTAATTTTTCCTCAAGAACAAGTCAATGAATCTAGTTATACTCCACCAAGTTCAAATATTTATGAACATTGTATGAAGAACAAATTCAAGCGATACAGCCCACAAAGAATAAATGGTTTCAGTAATGGATATCTAGTCAAGGTTTGATCCGAAGAGCAGTAGCTTTAGACTTTAGACCACAGCTTTCAGCAGTTGAGACTCATAGAAAGCTCTGTAGATTAATCATTGGCCGTTAAATGCAATGAATATTTGGCGTTCATTTCGTATCGTTGAAATCTTGAGCATTATTTACAAACAGAAAAGCTAGATTTTTGCATGTGAAGGCAGAAGAGTTCACGCCAATTTATTGAAAAATTCTTTATGGCAATGATTGATAAACTTAGGAACCAAATAAACAAATTTTAGTAACATCTCCAATAATGTCATCCTAGTTCACTCTACTCCGTAACTTTGACAAGTATTCCTCTTTTATCTTCTGCAATCTTGGAACAACATCTGTCATCAAAAGCCTTTCATTAGGCAAATCTCTTGAACACGACAATCCCAGCTCTATAATTGAAGTCAAGCATTGACGAACAATACTCAAGTATTCAGATAGTTGCATATCGACAGAATCATCTCTCAAGAGATTGAAATCAACAATCTCCAGTATTTTTGCAGGATATGCACTAATTACCCACTGCCTTAGGCTTGATTCTCCACTGAACATTACATCAGTTGGTTTTTTTCCGGTGAATGTTTCGAGCAGAAGAATACCGAAACTATAGATGTCGCTCCTTCTTGTTACATTTCCTGAGCTTCCATATTCTGTAGAAGAGAATAGTAGCCAAGGAACGCTCATAATCAGGTTCTAATCAATGTAAACTTAACTTATTGGTTATTATACTTCAACAGGCATCAGGCGAAAATATTTGGTTGGACCTTTTAAGTCTAAACTGAAAGCAATTATTCATTTCTCCACTTATAAACAACACTGAAATTTAGCATTGAACTGTAGCAAAACAAGAACAATTTAACAGTATTTCACAGCAAAAATTTGAAAGAAAAATCCCCAAGTGAAAGGAGAACTAGTAAGAAATTGATTTTTAGGCAAATTTAACAGTGACATAATGGAAGGTGTGAAAATTTCGGGTTTTATCTGGACAAATATAAACTTACAGGTAAAGAAGTTTAAAACTAGTGAAACTTAGGGTATTAAACCGCAAGTAAGCCTAAACTATTTCCTTACCTGGAGCAATATAGCCAATGGTCCCCGATGTGCTGGCTGATACTATAGACTTGCCACCAGAGATTAGTAGCTTAGCAATCCCAAAATCACTCACATATGCAGTCATGTTCTCATCCAACAACACATTGCTTGGCTTTATATCAGAATGAACAACAACATAATGATGATGATGATGAAGATACTCCAATGCCATCGAAACATCCACCATTATGTTCACCCTTTGGAGTACGCTCAATTTGTGATAATGAGAGTGCAACCATTGCTCAAGACTTCCATTTGACATAAATTGGAGGATCAAAGCCTTGAAATCCAAGTTAGAACATGTGCTTATAATTTTCACAAGATTTCTATGACGAAGCATGCTCAAAGCGCTACATTCTACGTCGAAGCTCTTTGATGCCCCTTCAACATCTAAACTCAATACTTTTACCGCAGTTACCAAACCATCATCTAAGCTTGCTTTGAAAACCGAACCAAAGCTCCCGGTTCCTAATAAGTTGGCATTGCTGAAATTATTTGTGGCACGAACCAGCTCGTGATATGAAATCATTCTATAGTTATTTGCAAACAATGTGTTCCCTTGAGGAGGAATCTTGGCTTGACCCATTAGATACCTTCTAAGTATGAGAAAGAAGAAAGCAAGTAGAATCAAAGCAGCAGCAACTGCTGGAATGATATATTTCAAGAAATGTTTTTTCCCTGTACCAGTAGTACCAGCTTTTGCACAAGGTGGAAAATTCAATTCAGATTTTCCACAAAGTGCCTCGTTTCCTCTTAAAATTGCAGTGCTTGAGTTTGAGAACACTCTACCTTGTGGAATTTGACCTTCCAATTTGTTGAAAGAGAGGTCTAAAACACTTAGATAACGAGGAGTTCCAAAGGTTTTGGGTATGACACCGGATAGGAAATTATACGAAAGATTCATATACTCAATATTGAGCAGTTTACCCAAAGATTGAGGAATCTGACCATCTAATGAGTTACTAGAAAGATCTAGAGAGCTAACCATCTCCATGCCCCCTAAGTTACTTGGAATTGTACCTGTGAGCTGATTCTTCGACAAATCCATTGCGTTTAAAGCCCCCAAATTCCCAAATTCTGCAGGAATCAAGCCATCTAGCAAATTTCTTGAAAGATCCAAAGCAATAAGGCCTCTCAGGTTTCCCAAGCTCTTGGGAATTCTTGATGATAACATATTTCCAGATAATAACAAAGACTGTAAGCCCCTCATATTTGCCAATGTGCTCGGTATTGGTCCAGAGAGTGCATTTTGTTGAAGATTTAGGGTATTCAAGCTTGTTAATAAACCGAGCTCAGATGGAATTGATCCGTTTATTTTGTTATCGACCAAGTGCAATACCTGAAGTGTCTTTGATCTCATAAGACCAATGGGTATTTCTCCATTCAGCTCATTTCTTGCTAGAGAAAGAAGGAGGAGACTGCTCAGATTCCCAAATGCTGCAGGAATATTTCCTCTTATATGGTTGTCTGCCAAGTTAAAATTCTGAAGAGTCGCTGAGAGATTTCCTACTGAATCTGGAAGAACACCATCCAGCTCATTGTTCACTAATGAAACAGACACTAAACTCTTGCAATTGGAAAGAGAATTTATGAATGGAAGCCCTCCAGATAATTGATTCTGGCCCAAAAACAAAGTTTTAAGTAGCGGCAGAGAATACCCAATAGAAGCAGGCACGGATCCAGTGAGATTATTGGCAGAAAGAGAGAGGATACTAAGAGATGAAACATTCAAGAGAGCTAGCGGTATCGAACCTGTCAGCTTGTTTCTTGCCAGGTTTAGAAATTGCAGGTTCAATAAGCCCGCCAGTTCTCCAGGAATGTTTCCTTCAAGCTTGTTAAAATTCAGGTCTAACGTTAAAAGCTCAGTCAGATTGCCAAGAGAGATTGGAATTTTTCCAATAAGTTGGTTTCCAGAGAGAGATAACCCTGTCAACTTTGATAATTGGCCAAGCTCAGTTGGTATAATTCCAGTAAAAGAATTATTAGACAGTGACAGTGTCTGCAGGTTCTGACAGCGAGCAAAGCTGACAGGTGTCTTACCTGTCAACAAATTTGCTGATACAGAGAAAAACTTTAGCCTGGGGAGCATAAAGCTCTGATTATAAGGGAGAGAACCTGACAGACTATTAGATAGGAAGGAGACTGTAACTAACGAAGACACGTTGAAAATGCCGATAGGAATAGACCCCATTAGCGAATTTTGCTCTAAGGCAAGAAACTTAAGTCGAGTAAGTTGGGCTAAAGATTCAGGAATTATACCAAAGAGAGAGTTGGCGCTGAGGTCAAGGAAAGATAAGAATGAGAGATTGCCGATAGAAGGATGGATGGTTCCCTGTAATGAGAAGTTGTAGAGATTGAGTGATGAAACTCTCTGGGGATGTCGTCGGCTGCAGCTGACACCGATCCAAGTGCAGTATGAGGTGTCGGTTGTCCAGTTTGAATCCAGAATGCGCAAAGGATCGGTCATTTGAGATTTGAAATCTAATAGATAGTTGAGGTCAGTGAAGTTGCCGAGCTTTGTTGATGATGCTAATAGCAACAAGGGGAGGAATGCTGTGATCATGAAGAGGAAGGGAGAGAGAGCCATGAGGTTCTCTTTGCTCTTTCAGAGACTACGATGAAGTTGGAAGATGTTAAAAGAGTCTGTGTCGTTATAAGAGTATGAGTCGGAGGATATTAATATGCCAAGTTGGAGCATGGCGACAGCAAAGTTTGACTTTTCTAGTCTGAGGTGGATATACTGATTACTTATCGGTAATAAGACCAATCATCAGATTAAACAAAAATCTTCAGTTGGAACTTGTAGGAGAGATGCGTCTTTCTGACTCAGGTTACAGAAGGGACGACCAATATATTGTTTAAAAATTATAAAATTTTAAATAAGTTTTGAAAGAAAAAGGAAAAAATTTCCCCCGTTTTGACCAATATTTTTCACGTGCAAGGAAGACCTTTAAATATTATTTAATAAAAATATTATTAACATATAAAAGTGTGATGTAACCCACTCTACAGACGAGATGGAGACAGATATGAAAAAGTAAGATGTAAGTCGAACGTGAGATATGAAAGAGCTAAAAGTGTACTATGGGCAAAAAAAAAAAAATTGTTTATTTGTTTACTTTTCTTTCTTTTCTTTCCTTTAAATATTATTTAATAAAAAATAATATTAACGTATGCAAGTCTAACATAAGTACGTAACTCCCTCTACAGATGAGATGGAAACGGGTTCAAAAATTAAGATGTAAGTTGAACATAAGATAGGAAAGAGCTAAAAATGTACTATACTAATTTAAGCGCTAGGCAACGATATTAATCATGCAAAATGCCTCTCTCAGTTGGTTTGACCTAGTGAGATGCCTTGGTTCTTTCTATCATTGACTCGCGAGCGAGAACATTAAACAGCTGGATTAAAAAAAATTACTTGATAATCCAAATCTCGTCAGAACATACCCCAATGATAAAAGTATTAGCAGCCGCATATGTTGGGCTCTTCCGTGTATAAAATCTATTAATTAAGCATAAGAGGGCTTCGATTGCATGCAAGAATCAGAGGTATACGCATATCTCACATCCTGATGAGTTACACATACAGCATGGGAAATAACACGAGCAAAACTTTCCAGGTAGCCATTAAACTCAATCACTGTATTCTCCGTCCAGTTCAAATTCAAAAATTCAAATGTGCGATCAACAAAACCCATCATCGTCATTTTGGTAATAAACAATACAAAAGTGCGAGATTAGCGCATTGGTTACTGTGGCCTGATTAAATTAGCCCACGGAGAAGAGCGTAGATTACTGAACCAAATGGTACACTGATAATACCTTTTTCACCAAAATCCCGCAAAGCGGCCCAAAGAAAACATTAATCAATGGCGGATGATAACTTAAATGACGACAGGTACTTGCCTGCTTCTCTGTAACGATTATTAACTTGATGTCTGAGACTGTAAACTAATAATCAAGCACTTCCCTCTGCAGCAGCAAGCTTTCTCCTCTGCTGATGCTCTGCAACTTTATAATCCACCACCTCACGAAACAAATCTGGGTTAAGTTCACACTCTTTGCTACCGTAGACAGCAGCTTGAACGCTGGCCATTAGCTTGGCTATCTCTCTGCCAGAAAACCCATTGGTCTTAGCTGCAGCCTCTCTGATTAAATCATCAGAAATGTTTTTTATCTCTATTCTTTGTTGCTGACGTCTGAACAAGTTTCTTAACCAACCACCAGATTTATTTTCTCCAGCCTTTGCAATGTATTTGTCAAGATAGTGGAAATTCAAGTGCCTCGTCAATACGATCTGCAACAGCTGAGTCTAGGTCACCAGGCCGATTGGTAGCGAGGGCAAGAACTATATCCTTGGATTGGTCACCAGTTCGGAAAAGGAGAGCATTGAGAGCACTTCGTTGGGCTTCACTCATGTATGTCTTGTTACGCCTGCAAGGGAAATGTGAGGAAAATGAGAGTCGATACTGTCAGACAACCATAAATAATTTTTTATGTGAATGCAATGATGGCAAACAAACCCTAAAATGGGGAGGGGCTTCATTTAACTCGAGTAACATCGTGAAGGACGAAAGGCAACAGAGAGTTATAGAATAATCCATCAAGAATGGATTTCTTAAATACTGAATATTCTTAAAAAGAAAATTAAACCCTGGAAGTGAGAAGAAATTGCTTACTCGCACAAAAATGCATCTGCTTCATCAATAAAGAGCAGCAAACCTCGATTTGATTTTTTAGCCCAGTCAAACAGTTGATGTATTTTTGTAACTGCCTGTGATCCCAGTGGCGCGACATCTCCACCTGTCATCAGTGCATAATCTAGGCCCTGTTGGATCACACAACAAACACAATCAGTTTTTCCAACTGAAATAAAATACTCCAGCTACTTTCAGTTTTTATGTGCTTCATAATCATACATACAGATTTATTAGCAAGTTCTCTAGCAGCCATAGTTTTGCCGGTCCCAGGAGGGCCATAGAAGAGCATGTTACGAAATGGTGCCTGATGGGCTTTAGTATTAGCAGTCGCACTGGCAAGCTGTTTGATTCTCTTCTGAAGTGAAGGGTTAAGGACCACATCACCAAAACCATTTCTATTCTCTCTTGCATTGCCCTTTTCACTAATTGTTTTATTTTTTGATAACATTGATATTGCACGACGTGAGAAAAGACCCGACCAAGGGTATTTTCCAATGGACGACTCTCTGATCAGGGATGGCTGGCCTAATATCCGGTCAATGTACCCCCAAACAACCCGAGCACCCTCTCTGTACGAAGAAAATTCCACAATTGTAACAATCAGAAAATTCTATCCAAATTTCCAAAAATTTACAAGAAATGCACAGGTATAAAGCCTTATTTTAAATGAAAAATATCATCATGTACATGCTATAAAAACCTATTGGCAGTCTGTAAGTGAAGAATGGTTTAAAGGCAAACGAAGATAAACAAAAAACGATGAAGAAAAAGGAATCATAGATAATGATGATAGATAATGATGATGAGTAGTCAATCTACAAAACATTAACAGAACAGCCCCTGATTTTTAGTGTAAACACAGAGTCGCCGAAATGTCAAGAGTCGCTATTTCAGCTGAAACTTCTTTTTTTTACCAAACTGATAAAGCCAGCATAGTTCCTATATTCTTCAAAACGACAGAAGAGCCCCTTTCAGATAAAAGATCTTTTGTAACACATCTCAACTATTCCTGAAAAGTAATGATATGATCATTATGCCCTTAGAAATATAATAATCTGGCAATTATGACAAAGCATTTTATGAAGAAGCAAAGTTTGGATGCTAATAAAAACATAGTTGTCTTCAATCTTTTGTAACACATCTCAACTATTCCTGAAAAGTAATGATATGATCATTATGCCCTTAGAAATATAATTATCTGGCAATTATGACAAAGCATTTTATGAAGAAGAAAAGTTTGGATGCTAATAAAAGCGTAGTTGTCTTCGATCTTTTGTAACACATCTCAACTATTCCTGAAAAGTAATGGTATGATCATTATGCCCTTAGAAATATAATAATCTGGCAATTATGACAAACCATTTATGAAGAAGCAAAGTTTGGATGCTAATAAAAACATAGTTGTCTTCCCATAATTCAGACCAAAACATGAACCAAAAAAATGAATCACAAATATTATTGCAAAACATTAAATAAATATTAACCATATAATATCAATTATCAAATACACAAGTTGATATAGTTGCTCCATATCAACACATATCAAGTAAATGTGTAGCCATTTTTTACTTTCATGAAGCAACCAGAATTGGCAATGCAAACATGATTGCCTGATAACCTGATCCGCATTGACCCGAAATTCCATGTTTGGATTTCACACATGATAGCATATTATGTAGGGTATGAATCATACAAATACATCTAGCTCCTCCTTGGATCTGCATATGAACCCTTAAGGATCAAGGCTTCAGTGTAGTGCACTTAGTTCTAATTAAATTATCTACTTCTTCCACACGTAATCTATAATAAGATTATCTGATCCTGTGCAAATTGCTAAAGGACGTGAGAAAGGAATGCTTGCCCGTTCTTATTTGATTCTTAATGGAAATTGGCATAGCTATGCAAATATATTGGCTCGGATAGTCAAAAGCTCAAATCCAAAATTCACTTAATCATCAAGTTAAAAGATTTCTTTGTTGCCTTGAATTCCCAACTGGGGTTCCAACATCAAAAGATTTCTTTGCTGCCTTAAATTCCTAACTGTGATTCCGAAGTAGGATCCAGCTCAGATTAACAAGTACCCACCATAAATGCACTCTGTAAAGATTTGTCATGTAGTACATGAAAAGCAACCTATATTTTCTTCTACAATAGCAAAAAAATAAAAAATAAAACTTTTGTTTTGTAATGCTAAGTAACAACAGTAATAATGCCAGGCAGCAAGTAACATTGTGTCTTCTATGATTTTATTTCTACATTTATGGCTAAAATACCATCCCTCCTCCCTCCCTCTCCTTCTACCTCCTTTCCATATCCTCACTATCACCTTCCCCTTTCCATCATCTCCTCCGTTCTCTTATCTTTCCAATTCCCAACCACCCCTTCTCTCCTCCACTCCCTCTCCCTTCTTCTCCTCTTCTTCTCTCCCACTCCCTCTTCCTCCGTGCTCCACCCACTCCCAATTCCTAACATCAAACGTTCTACCGTCTCCTTCTCCTCTTCCTCTCTCCCGCTCCCTCTCCCTCCTTGCTCCGTCCACTCTCTCTTCACCCTCCAATCATCAAAAACGCAACATCCTTAAGAGTGCGGATAAGGGAAAGGAGAGGGAGAGAGAGTGGGAGAGAGTGGAAGGTTGAAGATCAGGAGAAGAAAAGAATAGAGGAGATGGTAGGTAGGATGAAGGAAGGGAGAGAAAGGAGTTTCTTATAAATTTTAGAACTTGAGGGTATAACTAAAATTATGGGATAGTTGAGGGGTATATATGAAAAAGTTTCTTGATTTTTTTCACTTAAAAATTACCTCTGGCATTCGGAAAGGCCTATGTGTCGCCAATTTATCACTTTTTAGGTCAAAGTATCGCCGACGTCACTTTTTAGGCCAATGCAGTAAAGAGGTGAAACTTTTTGGGGCAATCTGGTATTTTAGACTAAAAAATATAACTACACAGGAAGCATAATTCAATACAGATGTCAAACATAAATACTAAGAAAACCAGAGAAGGAAAGCAACCTACATATCCTATCATTTTAGTTTGGAAAATGGAAACACAAAATATACCATGTTAAGGAAATCTGAGAAGTGTGGGTATTGGATACCTTGTTGTGTAAATCCCAGCAGCTACTGCAGTAACACCACCAACAGCTACTACCAACTTATTCTGATCAGTCAGCACAGCTCGCAGACCACCTGTAGAGATAATAAGTAATAAAAGGATTATTGTTACTTGTCAATTTGAGGGTTTACAGTTAATCAATAAAGGTATGTTATTTCTGACATCTACGGAACAGCATGTATGGAACCAGAAAGCATTAAGAAAACATAAAGTTTGTGCTGCTTAAAATTTGATAGGTGGGTCCAGGGGCCAAGCAGCGGTTTAGCCATTTACCAGATGTTTTGATGACTTGAGCCAACAGTTCTATAGAACTGGCTCAGTTTGCGACTGAGGTTGTAAATGTGCCTGTGATATAAGAAAATGACTACCATGCAGAAGTTGCAAATATGAAGCATGAACAAATATCATATAATATACTGTCAATTCCCATATTATGCAAAATGAAGATTTTGTGAAGGTCTTCAGAACTCCCAATAAATATGATTGAACCAAATGAAGCCAAAGGCAGGCCATTTATAATGCTAGACGAAGAATAAGGTGAAAACAATTGCTGCAAACAGAAATCAGAATGACAACACTATTGGCACTCCTTGGGATATCTTGAAGGACTTATCTTACTCAAATAAGAATACCAGAAAGAGTTATAAGGTGGTGGCCTGGATGTATGGCTGCGGACTATGATGAAGCCTCTACTACAATTATTAGTATATGTCATGTTATACATATTGTGTCGAGCATTACCAACCAAATTAGTCAACACGTCAGATGCAACTAAATAAAATTTAGAAACTGAACGCGACAGACTCGAGTTCAATCATGTAACAAAATCTAACCGCATCATTCAGTTCTGTCAAAGCATACATATGATGTGATTGATATCAAATGTCAATCAGGCTTTTAAAGAAATATGAAGTTGACTATGCTAGATAGGGGTCAAGGTATTGACAATAAACTAGTCATGTGAGAAACAATGGGTTTAACATTGACCAACCGTTTAAAAAAATTAGTATGTTTGGAACATTGACCAGCTCTGTGGAAAAGGAGAAGCATTTTCGTAATAAGTAGGTGAATTATTCTTGTATAAATATAACTACATGCAGTTGATACAAACTATGTTAAGCCAGAAACTACTTGCAAAGTCACACTGCTAACAATACTTATGAAATTCCAAATTATTTCCTATGCTGAAAAGACATGAGGAAACCACAATTCAATCCATATCCCACCTCCTTAAAACCGGAAGAATGAGATAGTACAATCCTAATGAACGGCTAAGGGTTTAAGAGTAAATTTTGCAAAATACGGATAGGTTCAATGAATCAATAGTTTCATTTAGTTAGTACCTCCAATATGCTCAAACGTTGTGTTTATGGCTGAGATCCATTTTTCCCTTTCAGCATTAGCTCGTTCTACCAGCATCCGCCTATTGACATCTTCAGAAAGTTTTGCTTCATGTGCTCTTGCTTCTGCTTTGGCCATAGACTTTACACGGATTGTTTCACGTTCTATCTCTGCCTTTTCCCTCTCAGTTTGACGTTTCTGTGCCTGAATCTGTTCTTCAGTTTTACGTCTAATTTGTTCCTGTCTAATGGAAGATTCTTCTTGCATTTTCACAAGTTCCTGATTTCTGGCCCTTTGATATTCATGCTCTGCCTGTCACAAAAGAAGATACTTTTCAGAAACCTGTAAATAAGACGCGTAAATTGTTATAGGCCAGACAAAAAAAGAGAAAATGCCTGCATTCTCTTCCTCTGCATTTCATCCTCATATCGAGCCATTTGGGCCTTAGTTTGTGCTTGTTGCTGAACCAATTTTTTCTGCTCCTCATAGATAACGCGTTGTCTATCCTGCAGGACGAGACAAAATCATTTCCAACCCTAAATAACAGATCCTGCATAGGATTCCTGCAGTACAAGCAGTTAAACTATCAATATTGACAAAGATTTAGATTTAAATTTATGTTGCATAGGGAAGACCTGAGACCATGTCTTCTTTTCAAACTAAACAAGAATTAGTTTCAGTGACCCACTGTGAATCCCCGTTTTAACACCCAGTTGTCCCACCATCAAGCATACAAACTTGTGGAAACAAGTAGTGGACTAGCAAGCACTAAAACTCGATGGGTTGAGTATTAGCTGCTGAAAGTGGGTAATAAAAGTCGGGTCTTGAGCTTTACTCACCAAAATGCCCATTTAGAAAATTTTATTTTTAATAACGGACAGGAGCATAAGGTTTGATGCCAAACACACAAATGTCCTCCTCTTTGAAATATAGCATTTCAACTTAAAGTCTTAAACCTATTTAAGGAAAGTTATTTGTTAGTTATTTCAATCCGTTGACAGTACTTGAGTCTAAGTAAGGGGCCTGCACCAGAGTTCTAAGATTTCTTCTTGACATTAACAAGAGAGCATTTCTACTATTCATTAAAAAAGGAGTGTGTTACTTCTAAACAAACGCCATAAGAATACCAGATAAGTGCAATTAAGTCTAGTAAAACAAAAGGAAAGTTAAGACCTAAAGGCATGATAATAAAACTATCCCAAAAAGTCGGTTATTCAAAACGAATTCTATGTCTCTAATGCCCATAGGAATACAGGAAAATAAGTGGAACGAGGCACAAGTCAAAAAAGAAATAAAAACCTAAAGGCACGATAAAACACTCCTAGTAAAATGTCAAAAATTGAATTTTATGTCTCTAATTAGGCTCTAGCGAAAAATGGCATCAAAAGATACAATTTTGAGCATAAATTACTAATATTATCAAGAAAAACGCCACCAGAACAACAAACTTACTGTCTCATGCTGAGCTTGAATCGCCCGGTACTCCGCTTTCTTCGCAGCGGTTTCTGCCTGCCTCGTCTTTTCCTGCTCCTTCATCCACTCAAAAACCTACAACCGCATTCAAAACTTCAAGTTAACCATTCCAATCCAAACAAAATAACCAAAAATCCGAACTTTAATCAACCAAAACGAACCTTCTTGGCCTGCGGCGAGCTATTGATCTCCCTCAACGCCTCCGCTCCCTTAATCAGCGGCTCCGGATGCAACCCCGCCGCAGTGGTCCTAGGGTTATCATTCCTAACCCTAGTTCCTCCGCGCCGGCGAAGGTTTACTATCAGCAGGCGGCGCTGTGAGGAGCCTGAGAAGGAGGCGGCACAGCAGCAGGCGAAGGAGACGAGAAGACGAGAATGCGGGAAGCGAAAGGGGCTGTCGGCGTAAGCGTAATCCCCCGCCATGGCCGCCGGCCACGGCGGTCGGCTATGCGCCGGCGCTCGAACCCTAGCCATGGTTTCCGCTAACAAATCGGAGAGTTGAGAAGGGGTCTAGGGTTTTAGAGGAGAATATATAAACCCTAGATTCGATGGGGTTTCTTGATTTGGAAGAATTGGGAGAGCATTGAGAGGGAGAGGATTTTTGGGCGGAGGCTTTTGTAGGGTTTAAGGAGATTGGAAGTTTTCTCTGCTTGAGGTCGTTAGGGTTTTTATAACCGTCGGATTTCAGATCACAGTCGTTGATGTCGGTTCGATTGGCTTGGGGCGTAAGACTGGACGCCAACAGCTGCCGGATTAAGATGGGACCCACTTATAAATAGGACGGAATTATTTTCGTTTGTTTTTTGGTCTTCTATGAGCTTTATCTTTTTTAATGGGTTTTTTCTACTTTATTTATTTTGGTTTCTAGATTAATATGAAGGGGGAAAAACTGTTATTGCATTTTCAACTTGAAAATTTGATATTTAAGTAAAGTCGGCTGGCACATGCCAGTTAATAGATCTGTACTTTAGTAATTATTGATTATAAAATTTTGTCTAAACCATAAAAAATTTGATCACCATTGAACTATATAAAAATCACATGAACCCAAGCAGAGATGAGGGGGAAAAAAAGAAAGCGTGTAAAATAATTTCATAATAAATAAAAATTGTAGAAGAATGAAAGGAATTTTTTTGATTGTTAAGACTGTATTACTCCATTTATCGTGTGCATATATGCATAAATAGCAGTGTAAAACTTACATGAAGGAACGAGAAAGGTTCAAAGGACTAAGTAAGATTTTAATACATGATTTGTTATTAAGTACAATAACCTAGAGAAAGAAATATCATCACACATTTTACCAAAATCAGAAGAAATCCTAGTAAAGATTTTGTATCTTGTATGAAGAAAACAATTTATGTATCATTGGGCATTTAAAATGGGAAAAAGTCTAATTTACCACTCTAACGATCATTATCGCACGCAACAATAGGAGAATTTTTTTTGAAAAAACATAAGATAAATTAATCTATAGTAATACAATTTTCATTCAATATCTATTTTTATCTTTTCTCATTTTAGAAAAAACCAGGTAGAACTCAAAACTAAAACTAGGATAATTTGCATGATAAAAGTTTATAGGGCTAGTCAATTAGAGCTAAAACTAGGATAAAATTATACAATGTGAGGGTCCATTCGGCAAATTGGCTAAACAAGTTCTAGTGGAGACAAAATGAGTTTATGTGCTTAGCCCTTATTTAGCAAATGAAAAATATAGAAAAAAGGAAAAAAATTGTGAACGGGCCCCTACTTCAAGAAACTCATGTGAGCAGCCCCTTCAACATTTTCCCTATGTGTGACCCCCCCCCCCCCCAAAAAAAAAAAAAAAACCCAAAAAAAAGAGTGATTTAGCCCTTCCAACTTAGCAATACACATTGTTTATATTATATTTCCCCGAAATCCCTAAATTATACCTCCTTAGTAGATCTCTCTCTCTCTCTCTCTCTGAGATCAGATCTAAGTGAGATTTTCCCTCTATCTTCCTTCTCCCAACTAAACTCTCTTCGTAAATCTTCCTCCCTTATAAAATGTTTGATGAAATACCCAAGCGGGATATAGTCTCTTAGATTGTAATAGTGATAGGCCATATATTAAAACAATATCATGCAAACCTTGCCGCTTTTTCTTACTGCTTCTTTGTTCAATTCCTTTTGTAGTTAATAACAATACGTGCTATTTCATTTATTTTCTCTTTTCACTTTTTTCTAGGGTTTCTTTGTCAACTTCTTAGAAAATCACAATGTTGTAACATATAACATAACTTAACAGGCAACAACATATCCATAACAATAAATGATCTAAACTTAACACAAAATGTCATAAACTTCATAGGTAATGAGTTAAAGTTCACAGCGAATGACTTAGACTTAACACAAAATGACTTAGACTTAACATACAATTGCTTAAACTTCACAGAAAATAACTTCGATTTAACATAAAATGACTTAAACTTTACAGAAAATGACTTCAATTCATAGGAAAGGACTTAGACTTAACACGAAATGACTTAGACTTAATACACAACTACTTAAACTTCATAGAAAATGACTTAAACTTAATATTAAATGATTTAGAATTAATGCGAAATGACTTAATCTTTATAGGAAATGGCATAAATTTATAGTTAAGGACTTAACACAAATTTGCGCATTTTGAAACCAAAACTACCTCGTGGCGTGGTTTTATCACTCAAGGTATTCTTCAATTACTCAAAGGAAGCCAAAAATCTCCTTTTGAACATATAATTAAAGTAACAATATTCATTATTTAAAACCGGTTATGGAACTAGTATATCAAACATAAATTACCAAAAAGAGTAAAACATATAAGCAATACATCAAACATCTGCTGGGCATCAAAGACAATACTGAACCCAATATCCATACATGATCTAGGGTCCCTTATGGCCTACTCCCCTATCAAAATTACTAGTCCAAAAGTATCCAATTCTATTACATACATCCTGGACTTTGGAGTGAAAACTTTAGAGATGAGTTGGGAACAATCTCTAGAGAACATATCTCGTAGCAAATTATTGAGTTGAGGAAAGAATACCCTCTTGTTAGCAACGATCATGGAGAAGGAAAGATTACAAATCACTCGAAGGAACAAACTAATCTCACCAACAAGCTCTTAATCTCTCCAAACAAAACCCTAAACAAATAGCTCAGAAAATATCTCTTTCCTGTGCTCCAAATATCCCTAATTTTTCTTCTCCACCAAATTCTCTCTTCCAATTGTTCTATATATATAGAAATCCTAAAATCATAAACATACTAGGAATTCTAAACCAAAACCAAATCAAATTAGGAATCCTAATAACCTATTACCAAAATAGATTAGGAATCCTAATAATCTCATGTTACCAAAATAGATTAGGAATTCCCTATCCAACAATTCTCCACCTCGACGAAGTTTTCCCAAAACTGAGCCGACACCGACCAAACCAAATGTCTCACTTGTTGCGTCCAGTACGCCACAACAACGGACTCATGACAACGGACTCCATCCATATAAGTCGAGACCCAAACGGGAGTGCGAACACTCACCCAAATGTCGATATCTACTCACCAAATCGGCTGCATCAAAACTGACTGCCTACGTATCCTCTTGCCCAAGGAATCAAGCATTCACGTAGTTCACCCAAATGGCCTCCAAAGGCCTTAATCCACTAGAAGAGTTCGCAACCCTTCTCCAATATCACGATCAAGTCTGCGGCTGATAGCACCTCCAATGGCTCCAAACTGAACTAATCCAAACATCTCCACCTGAGATGAACCAACGACACAAATCCAAACACAATAGTTTTACGTGGTTCGACAATTGCCTACGTCCACGGGGCAAGAAGGGGATGAGGTTTTCATTAATAGAGAAAGAGTACAAACTGAGATTACAAATCACTCGAATGAACAAACTAATCTCACCAACAAGCTCTTAATCTCTCCAAACAAAACCCTAAACAAATAGCTCAGAAAATACCTCTTTTCTGTGCTCCAAATATCCCCAATTTTTCTTCTCCACCAAATTCTCTCTTCCAATTATTCCATATATATAGAAATCCTAAAATCATAAATATACTAGGAATTCTAAACCAAAACCAAATCAAATTAGGAATCTTAATAACCTATTACTAAAATAGATTAGGAATCCTAATAATCTCATGTTACCAAAGTAGACTAGGAATCCTAATAACCTCATGTTACCAAAATAGATTAGGAATTCCCTATCCAACAGATCTTGTCATGGATATTAGAGGAAAACTTGTTGAGGATGTGCTCGAGGTCAATAGTGGCAGAGAAGGAGGTGGGAGAGGGAGACCATAAGGATGGATGGTGTGCTCGAGATTGGTGGCGGAGGAGGGGGAGGCGGAAGAAGGAGACAACATGGTCAGAGCGTGCATCCAAGGCCGGTGGTAGTGGAGAGGGAGGCGGGAGAGGGAGTTAAAGTAGTCAAAGAGCCATTCGAGGTTAGTGGTGGTAAAGAGGGAGGCGAGAGGGAAGGATGTCGGTGTCGAAGGAAAAAAAGAGGAAGAGGGAGAGAGGAGGAATGTTAGTGTTGGAGAGAGGAGGAGAGGAGAGGAGGGAGCAGCAGTCATGAATATTAAGATTATGGGAGATGAGAGAGGAGGAAATAAGAGTATTTTTGGGTTTTATGTTTTTTCTCTTTTCGTGCTTAGTTGGCAGTGAATAAGGGCTGAAACATATTATTGCATTGTATTTGGGGTTTATACATAAAGATGAACTACAATGGGCCAGAGCACATCAAGTTCTCTCATTTGGGGCAATGGCACAATTATCCCTAGAAAAAGTAGTTCTTTTGAGGTCCACTTTTTAAAGATAACAAGTTTAGAAATAAACCAACTCTCTTAGTTTATAAGAGAACTAGTTCAAATAAACTCTATTCTATAAATTAACCAAACCAGGTTCAAATTAGAACTAGTTCAATAAAGTCTCGTTTAGCATAACATAGGCTAAATGGAGCTAATTTAGAACTAGTGTAGATTATTTTCAAACTTGCCAAACACGATATTGAGTCAATTAGAACTAGAACTATATTTGAAGTTTAGAACTAGGATAATAGTAACAAATTATCCCGCTTTTTTTATTTCTATATACAAAAATGGGAGTTCTAATCTCTCAAATTATCTCAAGTTTAGGTTAGAACAGCTTGGTGAACAACTAGAACTCTCCTATTTTTTTTTTACATATTCCTTTTCTTTTATCCATCATCTGTTCCTTCAAATGGTCATTGTCATAATCAGACCACACTATCAATTTAGATCGCATCTCCTCTTATTCCTATATTCATATGCTATTTTCTTTTTCACTACATATTATATTTATATAATTATTTTAAAGTAAAAAATCTTCATCCATGATTTATTAAATAATAATAAATTTTTAAATATGAGAGGAAGAAATTTTTTTGGGGGTGAGGTGTGGGTGGGGGATGGTAAGTAGAATGAAATAGAAAAACATGGAAACCAGTTTAAATTTTTAGACTTGTAATATAATAATTCATAAATATAACAAAACTATGAATTATTATTATAATAATTATTAACAATATATTGTATTCTAACAAAATGTTATTTAGCAGTAACTACCAGTATATAAAATAATTATATTTTAAATAGTAGTTAATTTAAAAATGTCAAATAGTAGTTAAATTATCAAATGAATAATATATACTTATTGATTATCACAAATTACCTCCCACTTTAAAAATTGATCTTGATTCCTCACTAAAATATCCTACTTTCAAAAAATTATCACTCTTTAATAATTAATCAACTTCTTTTGAAAATGTTCCAATTTCCTATGAGCCTTTTTCAAGTAATTCTTTTTTTATGCTCCAAAAGATAAATTAAATTAAAAATTGTTTCCCATTAAGCTCAAAACAATAGACTTCTCTCCGTCTCCACAAACGTTCATTCTTTCCTAAAAGAATAAATGCTTTGATATTTTCTAATATTGTTATCATCCAAAGGATATAGTTCAAGTAAATTGCCTAAATAGTTCTTTGTGCCAAAGAAATAAGGAAAAATAATATCTCCTTTTGAGATTGAAAGAAGGGGGTATTGTAGATGGATCAATGTTTTCACATGCATCTTACTTATGTACTTGAATGAGAAATTTTTTCTATTATCCACGTCCTAAGTTAGCTAGTAAATTGGCCTTTAGATCCTAACTATTTTATTACTCAAAACTCAAAAAATTGTATGGTATTTTTCTTAGATTGATATAAATTTTTATGGGTGTGTTTGATAACTCGAAATGAAACTGAGTCAAAACTAATTTTTCTGTGAACTGGCCAGAATTTTCCCAACTAAGAGCTAATCCAAAACAAAAATAGGTTAATGGGTCGCCAAAAACTTCCACACCTTTGATTCCCACAACACTAAGATAATATAAGTTTATTGTACAATTTAATTATCATCTACATCTCTTCTTCATTTTCTTTTCAACTATTTTCCGGCACATAAGTCAAGTTTTTTGTTAGAAATGGTACATATAAGTATAAACAATTTAAAAAAATAGATAATTTCGTAAAATAAATATGAACTTTGGCAATTCTGTACCTAACTCCCTAATTTTCTCATCACACATACCATTTCGTAAACTTTTGGAGTGTAATACTGAACTTCCTTAAACTTTGAATTTTTATCATAGGATCTCATAAATATTATTTGAAAATAGATAATATTTTCTTCAAGAGGAAAAAAATGCTTAGTTTTAGGGAAATGACATATGACGCAATTTGGAGTTTTTCCTCTTGAGGACATTTTAGCTATTTGTCCATTTTAACTATTTGTCAATTATAAATGTAGATCCAATGAGAAAAGTTTAGGGGCATTTTTATGAAATTAACCCAACAATTTTTTTTGTAGTCAACCAATATATACACGAATAAAAGCACAATAGTAGTAGTGGACCAAACATGTACGCAAGATAAGGCCATAAGGGTGTGTGTGACATCTCTCTAAAAAATGGTTTAGGTTTAGATCTGCCTATTTGAAAAGAGTTTTTTTTATTGCTAAATATATGCCAGAAATAATCCTTTGTAGTTAATTATTGGGGTTTAAATTGATTTAGTTGTGAACTGAGGGAGCTAGTCAACAAGTAAGCCGGTTTTATTTAGAACTATATTTAATACTAATCTTGACTCATTTTTAATGAGTCGCCAAAACACACCCGAGGTATGTTCTCTCATGTTTTTGTATGATTCATCATGCTTTATTATCATTCAATCTCAGAAAAATAAGATTATTAATTATACTTTTTACCTCTAATTTTTTTCGATAAAAGGGTGTTTGGTTCAATTTCTAGAAATTATAGGAAATGTTTTCCACCTAAAATATGATTTCTTTGTATTTCTTAAAAAAATTATAGAAAAAGTTTTGAGAAATCAAAAAGTACCAATTTTCTTGTTTTTTGTACTTTGCTTGTGTGGTTCAAAACAAGAAAATAACTCATAACTTTATAGAAAATAACAAGATTTGGTAGGTTTTTAATTAAATATGGTATGTGTCAGATTTCTGGTGATTTCCTCTCATTTTGAGAGGAAATTGCTTTTTGTAAAATTTGGTAGGTTTTTGATATTTTATAGAAAATATTTCTGTAAATTTTTTGTTGAACCAAACATAATTTACAGAAATCTCTGGAAAACTTTTAATTACAAATTTACTATTGTCAAATGTTTTGAGAATTTTTTTTTCAAAAAATGTGCAACCAAACAGCCCCTAAGCTAACGCGTAAGGGGCTGTTTGGTTGTTGTTGGTAAAGTTGTGTATTTATGACACAACTTGGAAAGTTGTTGTCCACCTCATCAATTTTACTTTTATACTTTTCATTGTTTGTTTTTGATTCCATTGGAATCATAAAAGTTGTCCACCTCATCAATTTTACTTTTATACTTTTCATTGTTTGTTTTTGATTCCATTGGAATCATAAAACATTTGTTTTGTTTGCAAAATGAAACTTTAATTGTTTGTTTGGAAAGTGTAAAAAGTGGTCCCTACTCAAATGATCATATTAGTTGGAATTATTTTTTATTATTTTTTCCTAACTTCAATGTTAGTTTCCTCCTAAAATCATGTCTTTTTTTTCATGAAATCACTTTACAAGCTACATCAGCATATGAAATCACTTTACACTATTTTCACAACTAATGAAATCACTTTACAAGCTACATCAGCATATGAAATCACTTTACACTATTTTCACAACTACAAACAAACAATTGAAAGTGATGAAAGCTGAAATCACTTTACACTATTTTCACAACTACAAACAAACAATTGAAAGTGATGAAAGCTGACATTGGGACTCACTTTTTTACACTTTACATCCTTTTACATGGTAAAAACATACAAACAAACAGCCCCTAATAGAACTGAAGAGTAATAAAATCATATTAAAATCTCTCACCCGTTCAGATAATCTCGGTTAGTTCTCTCTGATTACCTACACATTTCAGCGGAAACTTAAATGGAAGTATAACTTAAGCTCCAAGAATAGCACATCCCTCACTTTGCTCTGCGAAGGCAAACTTGATCAGCAAAAGAGACAGTTCTTCCGTCTAAACCCAACAATAAGTTAGACACACGCGCTCTCTTCTCATTAGGTAAAATACCTGTCTGGTGTTCTATTACACCCATCCACTCAACAGGCTCTCTCAGATCCATCCAATACCGGCCCCACCACTGGGCCCTACTGGAAAGCAATAAAAAGGCCGTCGCTTTAACACTTCGGAACTCCCCACACACTTCTTTTTCCTCCGCCGAAATAAAAAAGGGTTCAGAGCGGTAAATTTTTCTAAAATTAAAATATAATAATATATTTGCGAGAAAAGCGAAAACAATAAGGAGAGACAAAAACCTAATCCTAGGGTTTTCTGAATCTCTCGATCCCTCGATCTCCTTCCCTTGATTCGATCCATCAATGGCCGGCGCTCTCCAGTACTTGGAATCGCAGCGGAACGCGCATCCGGAGCTCGCCGAGTGGTACAATGCGCTCGCAGATCTCTACGAGAAGAAGCTGTGGCATCAGCTCACTCTGAAGCTTGAGCAATTCGTCGCCCTCGCCGTTGTTCAGGTTTTCTTCTCAACTTCTCCTAGGGTTTACGTACGGAATTCTTTGCATCTAGTGAGACTTCGGGGGAAATTAGGGTTTTATATGGTTGTGATTGAGCAATTGGACCTTAAAGTTTGGATCTTTTGATGTTCTATTTCTAGTGTGTAAAAATTTCGAATTTTGTGGTTGGTGACTTCTTTCTGTTACGGGAAACCGTGAAAGTTTTGCGTTTATTGAGGTCTTTTTTAATCTTAGTCTGGTATATCAATACCTAAGCAGGGTTTGATTTGATGATGGAAGAGAATTGGTGTTGACTCTTATGCAGTTTTTCTTTTTTGATGCGTGACTAGTCGATTCAATGGAGAAAATCACATTTAAAAAGAGGAGATAATCGGTTTTTGAGGCATCATACACATAATAACACAGTTGGAAGCCTGGCATCTCATATTGCGTAGCGTAGCTGAGAAATCTTTGGATTTGGAAGAACTTTCAATTCTGTCCATTTGAAGTTTTGACTATTGTGAATTCTTTGACTTGGGAAGAAATAATCATTCTCAGTTTTAGCTGCATTCAGACGTAGCACATATTTTCTTCTTCTCCATGTGTCAAAATCTTTATAGAAGATAACACACTTTTAGAATTTTACTCGGCTTTCTTTGGTAACTTTGATATTTAAGTTTGATGGTAATTGTATCTTCATATTGCCCTTTATTCTACTATAAGGAAATTTTGAGTTTTCTACCTAGTTGCAGAATCTTGAATTTTACAATGTGAGAATTTTGGTTAGTTGCTCCCTAGTTACATAGGTTTAGTTTCATGAAAAATAACAGTAGGATTCCCTCCTGCCAACTGGTCTTATTGAATGTACGGGTGACCATATCAGCCATATCCTAATTAGAAGTTGATCCTTAAACCGTGTCAGCATTGTCTATCTCGTGTTACAGAAAACCATTTTTTGGTATGCTAACTACACTTCCATTTTTTGGTATGCTAACTACACTTCCTTCAAGTAATTAAAAAAAGATGTAGCTCTGTTCTTTTGGATGTCATAGCTTTTAGGCAGTGATAATGGTAACATCAACTGCAAAAGATTATCACCTTCACCCATCTGTGTCAATCGAACTATCTTCCAAGACATCATCCTTTTTGCTGATAAACTTATAGGTAAGAAAGAACCTGATATAAGCTAGTTTGCTGTTTGGATATTTTGCGACTTTGACTCTATTCTTCGAATCACGGGTCTCTGTTATTCTTGATAAAAACTGTTTCATGGAGGTGGTTGAAGGTACTATGTCAAAAAGAAATCGAGTTCTAGATATTTTGGTTTGTTATGGCAGTTTCTGATTTTATTCTCCTTCTTTTTTTGTTAGTTTGATTATTCTAGTTGTGTTTGACATGTGTTTCGATCATTCATTTTCACTTCAAATCTATATAAGTTTGGGAGTGTTATGCTATTCTTACCTTCAATGTTAGGTGTAGAGCAATTCTTGCATCAGCATAGTAATTATCCCTTGTGTTGAAATAATCCCTACATCTCACTCGTCATTCTCCTCAAACCTAGTCTTATTCTCTTAGATTTTCTATGCATCTTTGTCAGTGTTTTCAAAGGCGCGCGCCTCATTGCACCTCATGCGCCTTACGATGCGGGGTGATGACGAAACGCCCCACATCTGATGCAGCAGCGCCTTTTGCGCCTCGCGTACCTCCGTACTTTGCGTAGGATGCATGCAATACATTTCCTCATATAGTTTTGTTTGTTAACATTTCAATCGAGTCTTTATACTTGATATTCCATATCCCATGTTAACATTTCAATCGAGTCTTTATACTTGATATTCCATATCCCAAAAAGCAAAATAAATCCATTGGGCTTTTTTAATAACCTTCAATTATTCCATATCCCAAAAAGCAAAATAAATCCATTGGGCTTTTTTAATAACCTTCAATTGAGGACCATTATTAATCCTTTGTTTGGATATTAGTCTTGATTTAAGTCATTTAACATTTGATTTGAAAATTTATGAAATTTGCTACTATGTTGGGTGTTAGCATTAGAAATTAAGGCATTTGATTTGAAAATTTATGAAATTTGCTACTATGTTGGGTGTTAGCATTAGAAATTAAGGCAATATATTATGATTTTGTAGTACTATGTTGGGTGTTAGCATTAGAAATTAAGGCAATATATTATGATTTTGTAGTAAGATATTATTTATCTTGATATTTTTTATGTAAATTCTAAAAACATGTTCTTTCGTGCTTGATTACATATATTAAAATATTATGTGTGTGGTGTGCGCCTCGCATCACTCGGGCGCGCGCATCGCGTTGCGCCTTGCGCATGTGCGTGTAAAGATGCTTTGCGCTCTGCATTGCGCCTCGCGCATTGAAAACACTGATCTTTGTTAGCCTAGAATGAGGTATGCTTTGTTAGGCTTCATCATGATTATAAAATGCTCATATTCTAGATATTGTTATTGGAGCATGCGGTATTTAAATTCGGCTATTTTATCGCCATATCACCGATAGATAGGGTTTGGACCACTACGATACAATTTTAGGAAAATTAAATCATTGATCCTGTGATATATCGGTGAAAATCCGATTAATCGACCGCTTTCATAGGGGTCTAAATTGGCCGATTTTGTCAAAAAAAAAATCCCAACTATTGGTTGGTTTTTGATAGTGTTGTCAATGCACGTGGCGCAAAGTATCTTTACGCGCACATGCGCAAGGCGTAACACAATGCGTGCGCCCGAGTGATGCAAGGCGCACACTGCACATGATTTTTCAAGATGGATAAACAAGCATAAAAGAACATGTTTAGGAATTCACATAAAAAATATGTCAGGATAAATAATATCTTACTACCAAATCAAAATGTAAGGTCTTAATTTCTAATAATAATACATCCAATAGAGTGATGAAGTTCATAAATTTTCAAATCAAATGTCAAATCGAGACTAATATTCAAGCAAAACCAAATAGTAAATGAGGATTAGTTAGGATCCTTAATTGAAGGCTACTAAAAAGGTCTACTACATAGCGGTAAAGTTCATAACTTTTCAAATCAAATGTCAAATCAAGACTAATATTGAAACAAAACTAAATAGTAAATGAGGATTAATTAGGGTCCTGCTACTAAAAAGGCCTATTGGAATTATTTTATTTTTTGGGAAATGGTTATCGAGTATAAAGACTCGATTGAAATGTTAACAAACAAAAATATACGAGGCTATGTACTAGCACCCTGCTCAAAGCAAGGATGCTTGTGAGGCGCAAAAGGCGCCGTTGCGCCAGACATGGCGCGCTTTGCCACCGTCCCGCATCGAATGGCGCATGAGGCGTAGTGAAGCGCGCACGCCTTTGAAAACATTGGTTTTTGGGTTTATTTTTTTAGACCAGATCTGATATAGTGAAATAAAATCAAAATCACCAATCCCACTCACTACTTCCTATCGCACTTAGAGAAGCCAGCCCTAATTTCTCTTCGCCTTCTTGACTCTCTTCCCAAATTCAATCGTTCGATAATCCTGAGTCCTCTCTCGAAGGTATTTTCGTATGTTTATATTTCATTAAGTGCGCTTAGATTACATTTTAGGACATTATAATATGTGCTCACCATCCGATATGACAATCTGATGTTTACTACTTATCCCCGATAATTGCAATTTGATACGAATTTTGACCATCCGATATATTTGCAATAATCGATATTTAAAACCTTGGGATTATGAGATCTTTATAATTTGAAAATTGATGCTAGGGATCATCCAATGAAATACCTTTTCTAAATTATTTATAGAGAATCACGTGTGTTGGAGGCACATTCTGATGTATCTAGTTATCAATTGATTGTTTCATTCCTGATGTTTTTTTTGAGTTTCTTTGTTTTTTATATGGTTAATTTTTTTTTATTCATGGTTACAATGACTCAGAATTTCTTTCTGTGATAACTTTTGCAGTCGTGATGTTACTAGTCTTGGCTACTCACAGCTGCTTACCTTTTCATTTCAGGCTGGTGATGCTCTCATACAACTATATCACAATTTCATCACCGACTTTGAGACCAAGATCAATCTCCTCAAACTTGCACACTTTGCTGTGATAGTTTCACGGCAATACTCGGAAAAAGATGCTGCCATTAGCTATCTTGAAGGGGTCATTGAGAAGCTCCATGCTACAAGGGAGTTGCGGATTGAGGAACCGATTCTATATGTGAAGATGCAAATAGCTGCATTCAATCTTGAGAAAGGAAATCAAAAGGAGTGCAAGAAGTTATTAGATGATGGAAAGACAACCCTGGACAGTATGACTGATGTTGATCCATCTGTTCATGCAAGTTATTACTGGGTGTCTTCTCAATATCACAAATCTCGTCAAGAATTCGCAGAATTTTACAAAAGTGCTCTTCTTTATTTAGCATACACTACAGTGGAGTCTCTTTCTGAATCATTCAAACTGGTATGACGGTTAATTCTCACAAACACACATGTACACACACACGCACACCCAAATAAATAAATCAATAAATATATTAGAATAATAAATAAATAAATAACTGAATTGGAATTACTTTTTCAGTTTCTTTTCAATTTTCTGTCTCTGTGTTTGAATCCTTGGAGTGTATATTTCATTTGATTTTTTTAATTTCAGTTTTGAACTTTGCTTCAACAAACTTCTCCTTTGTTCTTGAGTTTGTGCTCAGCTTATGTATGTTTACTAAATGGGTCCTTGGGTCCTTAAGATCTTTATGTTGATATCAAAGAGCTTCTTCTTGCAGATAACATCTCATATTTCATACAGAGTAGATGTCCGAAATGTGGATTTTGTTAATTGAAATTTACATAGTCTTGGCTTTGATTGTGTCATGTTTATCTTGAAATATAGTTGTAAATATTTGATTCAATAGGACTGTTCAGAGCAGGTGTGGTATTTAAATTTAGTTTTCACAGTAAAATTTTGATGCTTCATGAGGAAACAGGGGGTCCTTGGAACCAGTAGAGTGATTAAAGTTTCAGCAGACAAATGCAGAAAGTCAAGTGGGTAGTGGTTTTGTCATATAATGATAAGTTGTCCTATTAATTTATGGTGTAACAAAGAATAGTAATAGCAAATTTTTGATGTTTTATGTGTATGAATTGCTGAAGGGATGACATTATGTCTGCATGATCATTCAAATAACTGGTGGTACTATTAATTAGCAATTAGCTTGGTAGATGTTCCACTGACCCTTAGTTGGTTAGTGCTTGCATGTTTATCTTGAAATATAGTTGTTACATATTTGATTCAATAGGACTGCTGGGAACAGGTTTGGTATATAAATTTAGTTTTCACAGTAAGATTTTGATGCTTCATGAGGAAACAAGGGGTCCTTGGGACCCAGTAGAGTGATTAAAGTTGCTTTTTTCGGCAGACAAATGCAGAAAGTCAAGTGGGTAATGGTTTTGTCATATAATGATAAGTTGATGTTTCGTGTGTATGAATTGCTTAAGGGATGATACTCTGTCTGCATGATCATTCAAATAATTGGTGGTAGTATTAATTAGCAATTAGCTTGGTAGTTGTTTTACTGACCCTTAGTTGGTTAGTGCTAGTTATATCATTTACTCTTGGTATGCTATTGTTTTGGTTTTGGTAAGGGTGAACTGTTATCCGAGTTTAATCTTCCTGGTTAGCTTTGTGAAGGTTAAATTATATTGAATTAGTCTTAGATTTGTTGTCTCCCATTATCCTTATTGTTTGGTGAGATTATAGGTCCCTTGTCATGTACATGGAGGTCATTGTGGCCCAAATTACCTTATTTTTGGCTTTCACAAGTGATTATTTGTGTGCTCAATTTATGCAAATATGTACACACATACGTATTCATGTGATTGCATATGCACATATAGATACATGTCCTATATACATACAAGTACATGTGCCTTGCATGTCTGTACGCATATAATTTTGTGAAAGAGTATAGGGCTCCCATTATCCTTAATAGTTTTGTCATGTACATGGAGGTTCCTGTGGCGCCAAATTACTTTAGTTCAGTGGTGGGTATTTGTGTTCTCAATTTATGCAAAGACATACACACATACATATGGGCATGACTGCATATACACATATACATGTCATATATACATACATGTACATATGCCAATATGCATATGAATGCATGTGCATATGCATGTATGTGTACATATTATATATACATATGCACACTCATTCCTCTGTATCCACCCACACTTGTATGGTAACATTTTCCAGTCCTTTTATGACAAATTAAAGTTTTTTTCTTCCCACCAATTAAATGACATGGTTGTCCATCTCTGGCAATCAAGAACACTATGAAATGTCTTTTTATTAATAAAAAAAAGTGTTCAAAGATTGCTAACCTGTTCGTCCAATGGTTGTAAAATGAGTGGTTAAACAATATAGAACGGAAGGTAGAAAACCGAAGAACAAGTTGAAAGTCTTCAAGATACGCATTTTTTTTCAACATACTCTTTGGCCCGTAAATCAAGAGAATGCCATGGATCATATATTGGCCTTGTCTGGTGTGCACAACAAACCATGGACACTAAAATTTCGGGAGTCATGTTTTTCTTATTTATTATATGTCATAGTTCATATAGCTGTCGCCATCGTATCCCTAATCACTCCACATGTTAGAAAGAAGTTGATTGTGTTGCCAAGCTTAGCTGGTTCTCATCCTCTTCCTCAATGCCAACCATTTGGCGCTTCTGGCCAATTGATACATAAATTGACATTCCTGTGCGATCTAAGGAAGTCAGCCATTGGGTTATGTGGCTATGGAGACCTTGTTTATTGGTTATGACTTAGGGTCAAAAAATGAGTAGCCATCAAGCAGCTGGACCTTCTCCGTAGGAGAGTTGGCTGAGAGAAAACAGGTGTGAGTTGATATTTGCTATTTCTGGTCATACGTAAGGAATATTTTAGGCTGACATGCTAACTAGGAAGGTATTCTGACTACAAGGTCATAAAAATGAGTAGCCATCAAGCAGCTGGAAAATGTACACTGGAATAAGTGCTGGCTGAGAGAAAACAAGTGTCAGTTTATATTTGCTGTTTCTGGTCATCCCTGAGGAATAATATAGGCTGACATGGTAAGTGGATAGGTATTCTGAAAGTGGCATAAAACTTAGTAAGTTGGAGGACAGCTTGGGGTTCCCTGGGCATTGGTCAAAACTATCTTTGAGGCCAAGCTTACAAGTTTGCAATGTCCTTTGTTTGAAAGCCATTTGCTTAGGAGATTTCATAGAAACTGATCTAAAGAGAGACGAACAATGTATCTGAACTTTGTCCTTGAGGAGAGATGTTGGTCCGTCTTCATGTAGGTTGGGGATAAAGCTCGAAAAAAACTATTAAGTTTATGTGTAAGATAATGTTTGATGTCCTCTTTTCTAATCTCTGATCGAAGAATTCTTTACACTCATTTGGAATGAAGATGAGATTCGAAATAAGAAGCTGAATTGTAATTTCTTATAGTTCATGGATTATTACTTAATTAAAAATTATTAAGTTCTCTTGTGGTATTAGTAATAGAACTTCGTTCTTTTCTCCCTTTGGATGGATTGTTTATTTTATTAGTTTTGTTTTCGTGAATTACCTAAAAGATGTAAAATTAGCAAGAGATTTTTCTTCCTTTCCCATTCCAGAATTACGAATGAATAATACTTTTGGAATTAGTTGGCGATCAAAGTTTTCATCCAAGGAACTTTCTGTTTTCTTTATCTGGTTTATCATAAACTTTCAATTCAAGTCTACAAAATTTTCAGTCCAATTGAGTTAATAACCACTATAACCTGTCATTTTACTTGGAAATGCTTTTTAACTTACTAAGATTGTTGGAATTGATGAATGAGTGGCTCAAGAGGTGACGACATATATCATTTTTAGCTAATGTCTGCTTGCTGTTTTCTTGCTTTCAGGACTTGGCATTTGACCTTTCTCTCTCTGCTTTGCTGGGTGACAACATCTACAATTTTGGAGAATTACTAGCGCATCCTATTGTAAGTGAAGTTCTATTTGACTAAATAAAAACCTCTTCTACAAATTGCTCTGTATAACTTTTCATTTACTATTGGTAAAAAACTTCTCATATCAGCTTCTGCCTTGTATTCAACATTAGGAAGATGTTTTTATAATTATTCACTAAGTGGAGGTGCTTGCCCATTTATTTTAGGCGGTAACCAATTGATTTAAGAAATATAATATAGAAATGCCATCATCTTTTGGTGTTGAAAGAAAATAGAACTAGCCATCATTTGCTAGATTGCATCAGAGTTGCATGATATTTACAGCCATCATTTTAATGCTAATTGCTTTCTCATTCAATCTTTTCCCTTCCTCTACACATATCTATGACTTTAGGAATTAGCCTCCCTCTGCCCCATAATGTCTCCTGTCCATCAATAAGGTGGGATTTTCATAATGATGTAGGCAACTGTAGACAATTCATACTCTTTTTCTGATCAATCATGACCGAAGTCATAAAGTGTTAAATCACCATCTCTCTTAAGTTCATCAACAAACACAGCTATAGGGTTACCACAACTAGTCAGGGCCCTTTGCATACTAAGCCTTTCTATACTTTGTTTATGTTCCTACTTATATGTTTTGGGTCTATTGCATGAAATATGTTTTAGGTCTATTGCAAGAACGAATCTTTATTGCAATATGCATTAATATGGGATTGTTAATTTTAGTTGGTTTTGAGAGAATTTCATCCACCTATGTATTAATGCATCAATAAACCGAGCTTTACATAATGGATAGTGTATATTGAAGGGGTTTTGTTGACCTTTTCTTTCCATCCACCCTGCAACTTATAAGGATGTAAATTATTTTCTGCAATATAGGATCTACACCTAGTATTTGTTGTCTACCAAGTGATTATGTCGTTGCATAAAGTCCAGTTCCTTGGATTAAAGTTAATTGATTTAGAAGGCATCTGCTAGAAGGAGATAATTTTGAACGATATCAGTGGAAAAGTAGAGATTTGGGCTGGAGGGATTGGCACAAGCAAGCAGATACCTCAGCAGACTTGTATGAAATTGGGCATGGACGCTAAGTGTTGTCTTGTAGATGTATGGACATGTTCAAAACAGGAAAGATTTTATGTTGAAAGGATTGTAAAAAAGTAGACCAAAAACCAAAGTTCAGTCCAAAGGTATATAATGATTCTTTTCATTCTAAAGGATTTCTGTCTTGAGTCCTTGATTATAATAAGGAAAATTCCACACGATATTTTAGGTTTGGTCACCAGCATAGCAGTGCTACATCATATACAGACACACCTTGGGTCTTGGGCTCTGTTTGGCAATTCAACAAAAACAGGCTAGGCCTGGGTTTTTCTTTAACCAGACCAAGTCTGCAGGAGCTGGACCAATTCAGGCCTGGGTTTAGGGCCAAAAATGAACTAAGATAAACTGGGCTGGAGTTGGTACAGTTTTTCCAAACTTTAAATACAACTTGGCTTCTGGCCCAGTTTCCTGGGTTACTAAACAGGCTCTAGTCTTGTATGCTGTTTAGATGAAATGTATCCTTATTTTCTAGGCTACAATAACACCTTCAAGTTAGGATTGAATATTGCCATAATACTCTGGGCTCAGTTTCATAGCCATACTATTTCTGTCATGTGTTTAGATCATCGAATCCACACTTATATTTTATATCTCAATTCTATTATCTTCCCTTGGTTAAATTTTTTGAATTGTTTTTGTTTGGATCCTCTTTTTTAATTGCAAATCACAAATCTGCCCCCTTTCTAGGCAAGAGTATTGTTCATCTGCAAAGCGTAACAATTTGTTCCCATTCTAAAAGAGTTTCTCGTTGGTTATGATAGGGCAAATTCCATATCATATGCTCAGCTAAATTGTCAGTGTATCAGTGCTAGTTACTAATGCATCATGAATCTTAGACACATGTACATTGTTTAAATGGATTGACTTTTTTCTTAGGATCTCTAGACAACATTGAAGTCACAAAATGTTATAGTGGAGGAATTGACCATCTAGATGTGAGATTTTAGGGTTGAATTGACTTTTTGACTTTTAATATTAATTACTAAGTATTAATGTTGAAAGAGAACCTTGGAAAAGATAGGTGGAAAGTAATACCTTAATTTGTTAAATATGCTCAAAGGTTCATTGACAATTGAGGTATTATGCAGTGAATATGTGAAGATCCATCCTATAGCCTACCACTGCAATATTTAGTACTTTCGCGGCTCCCTGGATGAACCTGCATAAAGCTAAATGCCAATTCATGTTGACCTTTAGCTCTACTCTTTTTTTTCCTTATGTTTTTTATTGGTTTATTTTACTGTATTTGCACTCTACACTGTCAGAAATCTTTCGAGAACATGCAAGGTGACCTCTAGGGGCTGTTTGGTCATAGGACTTGTGACAATTTAAGAAATCCATGTATTCCTCAACTATTCAAAATTTTTAATTTGTGTTTTATTGGATAATAGAGTTGAAAGTTGCTTTTGAAAAGAGAATCCAAACATTATTGTTTGGTTGTAAAAGAAAGTGATAAAATCTGGAACTAGTGTAAGGGTTCCGCTAATGATTTGATATTGTATTTAAATAAGTATATGTTAGTATTTGATAATTTTCTCAATTATTATTCAGAAATAAACATAAAGTTATTGTTGTTGTTTATTTTTCCAATTTTTAATTTTTTTAACAATTTTATTCATAAATTTTAAATATAAAAGGGACCTACTTCTGCAAATTCTTTTGAGATCCTAGCCTTTTGCTAGGATTTCTGGTACCCAACTCTTACAGAATTTTCACCAAAACATCATGTTAAGATTTGGAGAGAGAAGAGTTTCTTGGGATAGATTTCCCTCACTTTATACTTTATTATTTATAGAGATGGATTAGTTACAAATTAGTCTCACAGGCTATGTTACCCCGACACTTCAATCTAGGTCCCGTACCCGTGTCGGGTACGTGTTGGGTGCGGATCCGCACCCAAACGGCATGGATACGGCAAAATTTCACTCGCGAGCGAAGAAAAAAAAACCGCACCTAAAAATTTGAAAGAAAGGCCGAATCGGGCGCTATTTGAGCCTAATAACTCAAGCCCACTTGAAATCAAAGCCGAACGAAGCCGAACGAAGCGATTTCAGCGCCCGATTTCAGCGATTCTGAAGCGATTCTACCTTGACGACGAAATCAAAGCCGAACGAAGCAATTTCAGCGCCCGATTTCAACGCCTCGACGAAAGCCAACGACGAAATCAAAGCCAACGACGAAATCAAAGCCTTGACGAAGCAATTTCAGCGCCTCGACAACGAATCCTCTCCTCGACGACGAGATCAGCGCCTACAAGGTTTGATTTTATGGATTTTAGGGTTTTGTTTTTGTTTTTTTCCTTTTCTCCTCGACGACGAGATCGACGGAGGACTGAAGCTTGGACGAGCTCCGACAGAGGATTGAGGCTTGGACGAGCTTCGAGGGTCTTGTGAGGGGCCATCGATGGAGGACTGGCTTTGGGTTCGCGAGGAGAAATGGGAAGAGGCGACGAAGATGAAAACCCTAGGGGAAGTTACGGTTTTATATGGGGGAGGGGTTTGGGTTTGGATTCGGGTTTGGGTTTTTTTCTTCACCTGTTTTTTATATGGAGTGGGGTTTGGGTTTGGGTTTTATATAGGGGGAGGGGTTTGGGTTTGGGTTTTATGTGGGGAGGGGTTTGGGTTTATATAAGTAATAATATTAGTTCTAAATTTTTAAATAAAATAAAAATAGCTTTCTATTTCTTAGAATTGTTAAATAAAATAAAAATAGATTGTCATATTTTAGGGTATATTTGCAAATGTAATAGGTATTTAATTCAACACTGATCTAAAGTGAATTATTTTATATATATACAGCCGTGTCCCCGTACCCTACTTTTTACAAATTTGTCGTGTCCTGTACCCGTACCGATACCCGTACCCGTACCTCGGTAACATAGTCACAGGCAATGTGAGACTAAACTAATGCTAAACTAATACTCATACTCTCTCCTAACGTGCCCCCTCAAGCTAGAGCATATATATCATGCATGCTCGACTTGTCACAAATAAAGTCAACCCGTGTTCGACCAAGCGGTTTTGTAATAATGTATGCCAACTGATGTACTGTCGATACATGTTTTATCGTGATGATTTTGTCCTCGAGCTTCTTACGGATTACATGACAGTCGATTTCAATGTGCTTGGTTCTCTCATGAAACACGAGATTCTCAACAATGTGAATTGCTGCTTTATTGTCATCATATAGACTCATGGGACGTTCTTGAGGGAGACCAATCTCTGTCAATAGGTCTCTAATCCAAACTATCTCTAGTGTCATATTTGTCATAGCTCTGTATTCTGATTTTGCACTGGATCAAGACACAACACTTTGCTTCTTACTCTTCCACGACACCAGATTTCCTCCGAGAAAGACACAATATCCAGTAGTCGATCTCCTATCAAAAGGATATTCAGCCCAATCTGCATCAGAGAAGCTTGCAACTCTGGTGCGTTCTTGATATGAGTAGAGAATACTCGTCCTAGAGTCTTTTTCAACTACCTCAAAATTCTCATAACTGCATCCAAGTGAGTAGTTTTTGGTGCAGACAAGAATTGACTCACAACACTGACTGTGAATGTGATGTCAGGTTTGGTCACCGTCAGATAATTCAGTTTCTCCACCAATCTTCTATACTGCCCAACATCCTCAAGAAGCTTTCCCTGATCTGGTAGTAGTTTTGAGTTCACATCCATTGGAGAATCACTGCTTCTGCATCCTAACATCCCGGCTTCTGAGAGCATGTCCAGGGCATACTTCCTTTGTGATACAAGAATACCATTCGTTGACTTTGCAGCTTCAATGCCTAGAAAGTATTTTAGGAAACCAAAATCTTTGGTTTGGAAATGTGTCTATAAATACTTCTTCATGCTGTTAATATTAGAAGCATCATTCCCTGTAATTACAATGTCATCCATATAGACAACTAGCAGAATTCGTTTCCC